TTCCGGTTAAGTAAATTACAGACATGCAACGTTGAAACGGAAACCTGAAATCAAATATTGGGTTCTCTCGGATACCCGGCTAAACTAGCACAAAGACACGCTAATTACGTCTTATGCCACTTTGCTACTTACTGTTACAAACACAAAAAAACACAAAAATTTCATTTTATGCTCACTTTCAATCTGTATTAACTACTCTTTAATGATTTCAGCCGTTCATTTACATCATTTTTGTGATTGAAATCGCTATATTTTCCAGATAAAGACCCCAGTTAATTAATTTTTGTATACACACCAGTCATTCCGCTGTTCATCGTTATATTTGTTGGTACATGTAATTAAAACAAACAGATTAAGCTTTCCTAAAATTAAAAACTAACGGTGCGAAATATATTTATATTTTACAAAATGAAATTTTACATTTTTACAAATACACATTCTTTTTTCAAGGTAAATAGATAGTTGAGCCTTATATTTATAATGCAATTAATAATTTTTGCTGTAAATTACAGATATTTCGTGTTTTTGGCGGTTATTTATGCAAGCCGCTGTTCATTAATCACATACCTATTATAATAGCATCCGAAAAACAAGAATACTTTCAGGTAATTAATTATTATAGTAAGATTTTAAATTGTAAAATATTTTTTGTGTTGTGTATAAATTAGGAAGATTATTCGTATGATTCCAATTTTAAACTATAAATTATTTTATGGATTTGACGCCACTACAAAGTTAATCTAGGATCCATTCATTACGAGCTTGTGAAGACTTTTTAATATCTCTTTGTGAATACAAAATGAATTTTTTAATTTTGTGATAACAAAATGCATCTGAATTCGTACCGTGTTTTTCTAATCGTTTCAGCAACTGACTGAGTTTGCTGAAATTCTTGAAATGGTGCTTTCTATTTTCGAAGTAAATGCCTTGTAAAATCAATTGGACTGTGACGAATAGTTTTAGTAGCAGTTTCCACAAATATCAGTTTTGTGTTTAAAATGTTTGCAATGGAGCAGCTAAATAACATTATCTGATAATGCAACAGTAGTTTTTTTAATGGAATAATTTGGCTTGGCAATTTATTATTTATTTTGGATGAAATAGCCGCCGGCAGATTTTTCTTTGTTTTCAGAGGTGGAGTGCAGATTTATAGGTATTTTCTTTTGGTTATGGTGTCAAACACCTCTATTGGTTGCGTCTTCTTTTAGAAATTGAACTCGAACCGAACTCGAACAAGAATCCAACTTCTAGTAAATAATATAATATTCCAACCACGATTTCAACTTTATTCTTCAAGCTCACGGAAAGGGCGAATAAAAAGTGAAGTGACAAGGCCGGAATTATTATTACAAAAAGGTTTGCGAGTAGATATTTCTTTTCAAATTTATACAATCTTATTATCTTGATTGGTTTATTTTTTCGGTTTAATTATCGCTTATTTCATTTGGACAAATTTATACAACACTCTAATACAAATACGTGCACCACCTAAACAAATTCCAATTTAAACACAACGTTAGATTTATTGTCCTCGACAACAAAACCTACTCCAGTGTATTTGTTTTTCGGTTTTTGTAACACGCCAAACCTTTTACCTTTGCGAAATTTGAAAGTATTGCATTCAAAAAACATAATTTTGTTTGTGATATGATCTCGTATTTGTTGAAACGAGCGTGCAGAACCTGCATGTGCACAATACTAATTATATGATAGTGGTATTGCGCCAAACAAAAACAAAAGCAATACCAACTGCAATTTAGTCAAACTTTGGATTTTATTCCACAATCAGAATAATGCGATTTTTTAAAATTACAAACTTCAAAATGAATTTTGCCAGAGGTTAACTGTGTTTGATCCATGTCCACATGGGGAAGTTATTAAACCGGTAGGTACACTGTATAGTGAGTTTTAAATAGCTTTCATAACAAGCGAGTGCATTTTAACAGTCTCATTTCGGCAACATCAAAACAAAGAGAAACACTTCCATTATTTAACGCTTCTATTGTTCTTATTTTCAAAACCCTTTACTTTCACTAATTAGTTTGCTCCGTCCAATAGTTTCACCCGACTTCTAGTTTGAAGCTTTGTCGATAACAGTCACCTTATTTTCCAACACTCTTAATTAACAAAATTTATCGCTTTTTTTCATTATTATCGTCTTTATGATTTACTCACTTTTGTTTATTATGACAAGCTGACTTGCAAATATTTCATTAAACGACAGTATTCTACATAATAAAAATTTACTCTTTTGTACTTTATTTCGCTTTGAACCTTATTTTTTGTCAATTTTTGCTTTTCACAGAACAGTTTTATTAATAACATTAACACCCTTCGTTGTACTCAAATTGTCAAATGAAATTAAGAAATACCAGAATTATTAATATTGTGCCTACACTAGGTAACAAAAGACTGTCTCGTAAATTAATTGACAAGTGTCCTATATTAAAAGTTGAGAAATTAATTAAGGTAAATGACACTTTTAACTCGATAATTGATTACGTTCATTTTGCTTATTCGCACATTTTGTAATATTGCCTGGTAAGATTAATTTGTTCCGAAACTGGGAACATCTGTATGTATTATACGCAACTCATTTAGAGCAGCTAAAGTCAAAATTGTCTTATTCTTTTGATATCTAAATAAAATCACGGCTCAAAAATTGGTTTTTGCCCCATGAAGCCAAACATTTACTTCAAAAATTTTATAGTAATTAAAATTTGTGATAATTAAGTAGAAAATTAGAAGTTCAGCGAGGGCGTATAAGAATGGACAAAAATGGATCAATAGTGGATGTCAGTGTTGCACTATATAATATAGAATAGAGTCAGATTGAGATAAATTTCTTTTGTGATGTGGATCTTGCGATTCTTTTTTTAATTTGGCTAAGTGACCTTTGAGGAAGAAACGTGGAATCTGCAGAGTCTTGAGATAAAAGCTTAATAACGATTTAGATGTATATGAAGTGTCTTTGACGTAGTGCTTGCTTTGTGCAGTTGCAGTTGCATATGCACAATCCTAATTATGTGCCTGTAGAATGGAATTTAGCTAAGCTCATAATGGGAAAAAAATGGTGTTTTAAAGCGAAAATAGGAGAACGAATTTAGTAAACAGTAACATAACGCAGAATAAGTGCCGGAGGCTTAGCATATATTGCAGCCGACTTTCCGGCATGTAACCTAATAGTGTTGTATAATTGATGTATAATTTGGGGCCCAGGTAAACTTCCCACATAACTGTAGATATTCATCGTTGAGAATAAATTAGTCTAGGGTGTGAAATAGTTGGTTTGTATTAATTTTGACAAACAATGCTATTAAGTTTTCAGTTGATATCGACCCATTTCTATGGTTATGGCTCATGATACTGGGCGGTTTTTGGTTAATTAATAAAACATGCAAGTGCGCAGTCTAAATTGACAACGTTAACCCTCGGCGGCGGCAAGAAGCGGCAGCGATTTTCTAAATTGCGAACTTGGCGACAATAACGCGACTTAACACTGAGTCATAGGTGATTTATTGTTTATTGTGTTTTTCTTTAGACCCAAAACTTATTGATTGGAACTACTTCACATATCGTTCACGGACAAAACCATCACTGGCCAATGTTTTACGCTTCACGGGTGGCCGCATTGAAGACTCCAAATAATGGTGATGCTTGCGTCGATCCAACCCATCACTTTATATTCTCAATTTTAAATCCGTTATTAAGGCACTTGAAAAACTGGCCACTCCAACAGGAATTTCAATGAAACAGGATTCCGAACGACGACCTGCTTTGCACAAAATTCCTTTTTGATTTTAACACCAGATACCGACAAGTCCTGCCCGGTTTTCCTTTTAAACATTTTCCGTTTTATTGCTTTCAGCCCAAATCATGGGAAACATACACCCACTCATTTTAGACTTTTATCGCACTTATGTACATTTCCCAGACCTCGATCATTCTAATGGTAACTGAAAAAACTTCTACCAAATAATGGAATTAAACCGAAGATCTTCTTTCTCCCCATTTTCCCTCTTGTTTCTCCATTTTAATATTCTTAGGTTTCACTAATTTTTTGAATCTTTAATTACAAGCCACTATATTCTTCAGTTTATATTTTTAACAATTCCATCAAATACAAAAAAGGGTCAATGTCTCTTCATCTGGGTCTCAAAGTTAATTTGAATTTTATTGATTTTACATTTTATTACAAATGCGTTAGACCTTATTTTCTCTGACTAATAGCCTGTTCGATTCTTCACATGTACGATGATGAAAAACAACACTAGCTGAGTATTTTTCTTTACAAATTGGATCGATGCTCTGTTCGAGAGCATTTCTTGACTTTCTACTGCATTTGCAATGTATGAAGTCAATAAATTGGACAAATTAAGTCTCTTTCTATGTATTTTAAAACTGAACATACAATGAACTACTATAATTAATAAAATAAATATTTAAGTACTCTCATTATTACTCTTACTGGTTTGTTTTAATATAGAGAACAGCAAAATTTGAATATTTCATGTAGCTCTTTGATGTATTATAAATTTTGTTTAGTTAAAAGATAATTCCAACAAATAGAATAAAATATGAAAACATTTGGCAACGTGGACCTTTTGGAGATTATGTAGAATTAGAAATATAAGCTTTTGCTATTAACATAGAAGTTGGCTTCGGTTCAAAATTAACAAAGCAGCTGAATTTTTCAGATCAATAAAAGCTGGAGGTTGAGTAAAGATTTTTGTTATTTGGGTTACATAAGACATATTGTTAAAACCCACCCTCGTATAATTTATTATTAAATAAACAAAAACACGACCACGTTCTCGAATAGCTTGAGATAAGCTATCTTTATTGTGTGTTAGGGTTAGATTATGATTGTTTAGCTTGTGAGGGTTTTGTAACACTTATAAATCTGTTGTAGCTGACGTGTGATGTTTTGTTGTTAATAATTTCATTAAAATTAGCCACGGGTGAAAGGAATAGAATTTAACACTTGTCCTTGAGCACAGGTCCCGACGGACTGTTCTCAAACGTCGGTGGGATCTAAGAAGTTGGGTCAAGGGAATTCGACTGAACCTAGTGTACTGAATACTACTGAAACATCGAATTGCCCTCATTCTACGACGCTGAGTTGGGACGGCTCAATCGAGATACAAAGTGGAGATGTTCTTTTAGTCCGAATTGATGATTCTCATCTCATTCAATATAACACAATTATGAACCAGGGCAACGACACTGACCACAGTTTAAGCAGGTATGTGAAATAAAGCGAATCCAGCGTCTCGATCCACTAATACGCAGAAATTCATTAAATGGAGATGAAGGTTTCTTTGTGTTCTTTTTGCCCCTCGATTGACATCCACTTCCTCTCATTTTTTCTCAAATTTAGAACGCGCTTTGTTCGGGGTTTAATTACAATGTGTTTTGTTTTGATAATTTTGACATACCTGGGTTTAGGGCTTGAAAAGGTTTCGTTGTGAGGCAAAAGTTTAATTTTTGGTGCTTATCAAACCAATTGCTGGGAAATTAATAAACTTGACTTCAATTGTTCAAAATTTAAGGCGATGTATTAGGAGAGGAATAAAAAGTGGCAGTAAAGAAGCACTTTCATTCTCGCCGTATCCTCTTTGTTTATGTTTTCATTTTCATAGCAAGAAGAGACTAGCGGTAGTAATGCGTCGGGGCATTTCAACCCCCCTTGGTACTATATCGCATAGAACGTAATAAATTCACTCACTGCACAAACAAGAAATGACGTTATTCTTATTTACTGCTTATCATTTTCGGATTGATAAATGTTGTAATTTTTTATCGTATGGTTTTATGTGGCGTTATTTAAAATTTTAGCTTGAATGGTGGAAATTAAAAGAACGAATGTTTCCCCAAGTATCAATATGTAGATATTGGACTCATAAATAACAATTAATGACCAAGAAGCAATAAGCCTGCAACGTGAGCACACCACTAGTTAGAATTATTTTTATTATACCGCCAACATAAGCAATATATTTTCTTTAACGTTCAGGAGCCAGCAGGAAATTATTCAAACTGGCCTAGAATTGGAGAAAATCGTATAACCCAGTGGTTGTTGAATTTTTTTACAAGAATTCAGAACAACAATAGTTGTAAGTTTAGAGGTAGAAGTTTGAAGTTTATTTTGGTCAACGGTTCTCTTTGGAGACACTTCCAAGCATGCGTTGGCCTTATTATATCCACGGGGCTTTAAGCTAAATACTTGACTAAAATTGAACAATTTTCCTAGAAAAAATTGTTTCCCTTAACACTCTTAACTTTAAAACAATAAAGATGAAATATGCATGTGATACTGGTTTTTTCCTTTCTACATAATTTTATCAGGGAAAGTTGTCCTAAACTTCTTGAAAGTAGATGATGTAATTTTGAAGGCAAAACTTTGTGACGTGGTGTATATTTTTTGAAATTATGGAGTGTTTTGAAACCGACTTGTATCGTAAACCTCGTTGTGTGCGAGTGGATTTTAATAATTCAAATTTAATCATTAAACTTCACTAATTCGTATTTTTTTGAAAGCAGGGGATGAAACTTGGAAAATTTGTGGTGCTAATTGCACCAAAGGGAGCGTCTTTAATGTGTTGTCTCCTAGGACTCGCACCACGTTCGCCACATTCTCTCCCATTATATTCACACAAGACGAAATAAATAATCAAATAAAACTTTTCTATGTAGGTGCTCCTTTTGGTCACTGTTTTCTAAAATTTATAAGATTAGGTAAAAATATCCGGAATTGGGAAAGAATGGGAAAATTCCAATTGTAGGTAGTCTTGCCAATACAATATTGCAGCGATATTTTTTTCGTCAAAAACGCCGTTTGCGTTTGTGGGCTTTTTTTCTCCTTGTAATAAGATACATCCTGGAAACGAAGTGGAAAATGAGTTTAATATTGTATATCACCTTCATCATCGTAAACCAAATCTCTGGAGAATTGTTCCTACTTTATGATAGAAGGCTTGCAATACGCCAGATGCCCCAAGGGTAAATAGTGCTCCTAAAAGGTCAGTTGAGTTTCGGGTGAAATCGTGTTAAATGTTTTTCGTCTTGGACCGATAAACTGTTGTAATTTCGTTCGAAGCAATTGCATTCATTACTCTCGTGAATATTTAACAATATTTCCGGGTTTCGTCCGTATAAACCTTTTTAGTTAATAAAAGTTGCTTCTGCAATAAACCTCCAACTTTGTCTTACTTTATAGATAAGTTACCTCTCGGGTCTTGTATTTAAGCTCTACTTCCACTATTTTACAATTTCATAGTGAAACACTAGTATTTTGTCTTTTTTATAGGTTAATGCACGAACCAACGACCGCTGTTTATCAAGTGACCAGAACGGGACACGACCATTGCGATGTCACTGAAGGAATTTTACTAGACATCACTCCTTTAAAAGTGGATAACCAGAAAGTCGTTACGTTGTACGACAAGGATTTAACGTTGGGTATCAATCTTCTTATTGGTAAGTCCCAGGAAATCATTACTTTAAACTTCACTTACAAAATACTGCTCGTTAATCCCAGCATTGACAGCAGAAATATATAAAAAAAAATTCTTTAAATTCGTAATTTATTTGAACGAATAGTAACTTTGAGACGCCACATATCCTGGTCCAGAAGTAACATTTTACATTCAACTTAACTTCGTTAGGTCTTAACGACCCTGACACGTCAAAATTTAACAGCAATCATCTTCTAATTTAATAAGGTTGAAAAACTTATAATTAAGTCAGCGAAATTTTCACAAATCTAATTATTTGCAATATCGCTCGAGTTAATTATCAACTATCTTATAAGGGCTAATGCTCGACAACTCAGGCGGCAACTAGAACACAAGCGTGTGTTTACCTCCAAAAGCACCTCTCTCAAGCACACTCAAAAAATCTAAAACTGTCAAACATTTATGTCAATAGCACTAATATTAACGTTGTGCACTCAAAATTTTACACAGTAATTTAAATCTTGTTTGATTGAATTGAGAGAAACTGTCGCGTTCAAAGCGTCAACATTTGTGTATAAACAAGAACGAACGTGTTACTTTTTCTTCATTTGCTTTGTATACTCTAATAAGTCGATCAAATTTTTGGAGTAGAGTGGGTATCGCTTTAAATTGTGGTTTTCCGTTTTCTCAAACCCCGTTTTGTGGGAATAATATGACTTGCACATTCCAAGCTTGATTTAGTTTTTTCCCTAGCTGGGATATTATTCGAAACGAGGTTTGGGTTCGCGGATCCGCTCTTGTTAGTGCACGAAACGAGCAAAATTCTGGTCAAAAACGTCAGCCCGAGTTTCATTAAAAGAGAAGGCAACAGCTTGAGCACTTAGGTGAAGTTCGAAATTCTGAAATAAAAATGTTGAGTTTGCTGTTTAAAGTTGATGAAGTAGTGGAATAAATGCGAACATTCATTACAGTTGTCTCGGAATTGTGGGGGAATCAGTGTATTCGATTGAAAGTCACTGTGAAATCTGACAACTGTGGGGAGAACGAAGACTGCTCTGGCAAAGGCATCTGTTATTCCAACGATTCGATGGTAAGTCTTACTCTAAGCTTGATTTGTACAAATAAATAAAAGAGGATAGTCGATAACTCTTTGTTCGGACAGATAAGAAAAGAGGACCTTTAAGACATCAACGGGCAATTAGTCTTGAAGTCCTAAGACCTGATGAAACGGCTCGAGCGCGTAAAACCGCCATCGACTCGAAATTGTCATTTTACAAAAATACGGCAATCACCACTTATTGTTACGTCACCGCGAAATTCTGATCTGACGTTTTATTAAATCCCTTCAAACAGTTCCCTAGATGGGACTATATATTAAGCGCCACTTGTGTTCGATCTATACTTTGGCACGTGACTTATATTTGGCCCCAAAGCTTCCCAAATTTACAGCCTTACCTTAGATTTGTGATGATAGTGAGAATGATTTCTAATAATAGCAACCTTATATCGCACTATCAGAATTCATAAGGCACATCCTCAAGCCCAAAGTGCTAAAAGATGTGATCACCGACCTGGAAACAACACATATTGCATTAGGTCCGCCCTTCTTCCCTTTATTATCGCTTTTAATCAAGATTCCTCTCATCGAGGCCACAATATAACAGTCTGAATTTTGTTTATGATATTGCGTCTTTTTCCAAAGCACACAACGTTGTACTAAATCTTATTTTTTAAGTGAGGAATATAATAGTGAGAGACTCATCTTCCTGTCTCCATTCTTAAGCGAGTTGTGACAGAATGAACGATGGGAAAATTTCAAGTTTGAGAATCACTTATTACATGGGAGGGGAATACGAAGCTAATACATTTTCTATAAAACGATTTTACGCAGATTTTGCATGTTACAAGAAATTCTTAATCGAAGCAAGAAATTTCTACTATCACTATTAATCACAAGATTAGAAAATAGATGTTTCTGGGTCAACGCTGACAGTTTTTTTGTGATTGACACACAATCTATAGCAATGAAACAACCCTAGCACGGAAATCATTATTTGGACCGTGAATAAATTTTTTATTTATTAGGCACACTCGAATTAAATTTATTCGGTAACAAAAAACTGCTTTATTACTTGTCAAATGTTTCACTTCAAGAAAGGAATGTTATGGTACTTTACGCATCCTCCTGTCTCAATTTTGAAGCGAGTTATGACAGGATGAAGGATTGAGGAATTTCAAGTTTGAGGGACACATTTTATAATATTTTATGACTTATAAAAGCTCTCTGCTTTTGAATTTGAATGTAACTTAGATGAGATTTTCTTCTCTGTAGGTCAGATTAATGATTTTTTTCCGATTGTTCAGTTCCGAACTCGTAATATGTTTTATTAACAATAATATTTTATAGAGTACATCGTGTCTTCGTCTTTAATTTTATTAACCCAACTTTTCACAACAAGACGTGAAAGTTTTTATGGCAACTTTTATTTGCATAATAAAAATAAGAGTTTTCTTTGAAGTCCACGTCTAAATAGCATAATTGACAAATTTAAAGTTTCATTTTGAAAGAAATGTTTTTTCGAAAAATGTATGGAAGAACGGGTAAACTCATTAAAATGAAAATATTCCCTTTGGTAAAAGCATCTTTATTTAAAATGTTCATGATTTCATACAAGATGGTGATGAGAAAAGAGCAACGTTTTTAAATTTTACCTTTCAACGAACATAAGCTTTACATATTTTATAAGACTTCTCACTGAAATTTTAAAATTCTCCATCTGTACTCCGTCACGGTCACTCTCTTCAAATAATTTACTTCAAACATTAAGATCATTTGCGGTCTTGTAGCTATCAAGTACACAAAATACAAATTTAGGAGACGAATTGAGAGTCTCCTAAAACTATTTACGTACTTTTTTTTTCATATTTTTTTTTAAACCACCAAAATAATTTGAAAATTTGTATTAAAATGGTTGTTATTTTGCAAAATCGATTATTAAACTCTTTAGATGCCAGGACAGCTAAATCGCAAAATAGTCATTTTAGAGAGTGAATGCAAAAAATAATTTACCGTGTCTTAATTAAAGGTTATTTTATTTATACAGAGTTGGAGATTGTCGCCAGGTCGTGACCCATTTACAAAATTACTTACCTTTTTCACTCACTTAAATAACTTCCACAAATGAGTTTGTTTTAGTGTTGGGAAATAAAACAAAATGACAATTGTGGAAAATTTAAAAGATTGAGCTAAGATAGATGTCAAACTGTCGCTGATTGTGCCGTGCTGCAGACTTAATAATAAAATGGATTGTTTTCCTAGACAGGTTAAGAATGAGTGTAATCGATATTACTAAAATGTCCAGTTAAACAATTCTGTCCATTTAGTTAGGGCGACTAAATAAATTACTGTTGGCATGTGCTACTGTCAGTTCTTATCTAGATCGACTTTTCTGTCGATTTAGCTGCTTCTGTAACGTTTCCGATTTCTTATATCGAAAAGCCAAAGTTCCGTTTTTCACTTCTTTGATTATTATTTGTGTCACATCTGCGCTGATTTTATTTAGGGTTGTTTAATTAGATAGTCGCATTCGTTATATAGGTAGGGTCCAACCTAGAACGTGACATATATAAATTGTCTCATCCAAGATTTGTTCCCAACTTGTTTACTTCAAAGCTACGTATCATCCGAGTCCTATAGCAAACAAAAACAAATCAGTGTTTTGTCTAGAAGAAAGTACAGAACTTTTTGGCATTATTGCTTTACTAATTGCTTCTTACTGAGATTTTTTTTTTGTAAAAACGTAGGTGTTCCTGCATTTAATTTTTTGATTGAAAATCATTATTCACGACCAACAAATCCGTAATAAGAGCTTTAAATCGTTAATTAAGCCCAACAAAACGCAATAATTGAAAATGTCAATCAAAAAACAATCGTTTACGGCTTAAAGACCAACTAATTAACTTCGAGAAATGGTGAGTTCTTTATGATACTCTATTCGGTTTCTACTAATCAAACTTTCTGCTACAAGAACTAGAAGCAATTGCATTTGATTATATGCTTCTGGGGTAGTAAATACAAACAAATCTAAACCTTTATCCTTCAAAGCTGAACCGCACGCTCAGCAACCGATCTGAATACGGACAGTTAGTTTAGTTTAGCTCTTTTGTGGCAACAAACCGTCATTTATTACTCGTACAAGGAATATTTCATTAAAACTTTGAAATTGTTTTTTTTTTCAAATAGTCAATTATACACTAGACTTGATAACTTCATATAAAGAGGAGATGTGTTGTTTTATCTTTTGTTTGACATGACAGAAATCCGAAAGTGCGCTTGCCTGGAAAATTCCTGCTGTTCTGTCTTGTTGTGAAGAATAAAATTTTAATCCGTTTTATATTTATTTCGTGACAAAATAAGCTCTCTGGATAATTAGATAATTAAGGTCGTAACGATCTAACTTTAGGAAAAACACTGACCTGAAAAATAATTGTGATGATAACGAGCTGAAAAACGAAAAGGTTAGATATTTTGGTATTCAGGATGTTTGCTCTACAAATATGCCTGGCCAAACACTCATCTGTAAATGTACATATTAGAGTATATAAGCTTGAGATGGACTTTATAATGAATGTTTTTGGCCGGATTTATATTTGATGACTAAAAACAAGTAAAATTGTACTCTTGAAGCTCACTTCCTCCAATAAATAAGGTTTAGCTATGAGAACAAATGACAACAACAAACTCTGGAGTCATTTCGAAAGCAAATTCAATAAAAGAAGATTGCGGCGTTTTCGACACAGGTCGGGGGACGACTTTATTCCAGAGTCCACCCTCAAGATATTTACATTTATTTTCAAGCCAGTCCGGGTCACATTTTCAAAAAGTATCCTTGTACTGACTTTATTGAAATCAATCTCGGTTTATTCCAGCTAGTTTTAGATAGTAGAATTGGAAACGTAAATAGAGTACGTATAATACCTAATAAATAATTAAAAAGACTTCAAAAAGGGAAGTTGAATTAAAAGTCGTTATATTGTGGTTGATAGATGGCTGGATGAATAATTTAGGATCAGAGTTGATCACTTGTGATGCATATTTTGCAGGATGGATATGAGTGCCAATGCTGTCTTGGTTTCGTCGGCCAACATTGCGAAGAACAAGATGCTTGTTATCCTTCTCGGTGCAAAAATAACGGAATCTGTGTAGATATATCTCAAGGACATGAAGGATCGACTTTTCAATGCCTGTGTCCTTATGGTGAGTAAACTTGTGAATATCTAAATATTCAGTAAACTTATTTTCTAAAATTGCACTTTTTGTTCGACACCTTGTTTTAAAATCCAACGTAATTCACTCAATTGAATTTTAAGCAAACCGAACACTATTTGAAATTCAGAATAATACTAAATTATTCAGTGCTACATCGTGCAAAAAAACTAACTAAAACTAAGTAGAAACACAATTAATTTGTGGGGAATGTTTTGGGCAAGTTTGACTGCTAATTATACGAAATGATAATAAAATAAATGATTAGCTCCGTGCTCCTTTTAAGAAGTTTCATTAAACTCGATGGGAAATAAAAAGCTTTTAAAAGTTTCCCCTTCACATGATAAGGATCATTTATTTTTAGCACTGATTTAGTCGGCATTGCTCGGAAATCTTTTCGTTAGGAAATTGATGAAAAAAGTTGCTTTTAAGGTAAAATGACATTTGTGAGTAGTTTTATGCAGTCGGGATTCGGAAGGTGGCATGTTGGGTGCATGTAAATTATTTGGACAAGTTGAAGGAATGTTTGGCATAAAATATGAAACTTTAGATTCGTACCCTGACCACAACTCGCAAACTAAATAAGAAAGTTGAAGCGAATTTATGTTTTGGTCTAAATCGTTTCCTTATTTTCATATTTTTGTTTCCGGGGAATTCACGGATTTGTCAGCGGCGAGTAATAAAACTCCTTTTAAGTGAACAAAGTTTAATTAATGGAGGAGTTAAATCGATTTTTGTCAAGTGGGTGCCAAAGATCTATAAAACTAATTAATTCTCATAATACTAGGGTTAATTAAAGAGGAAGATTCGGTTTATTTTCCGCCGATATATCTCCAACTGTAGTGCAAACTAATAAAAATTGACATTTCTATGAGGACAAATAAAAGCTCCTCTTTGAGAATAAAGGCATTGCGACGCCACCGACGGCGACGCCAGGACCAATGATTGGAATACAAGCGGAAATTTTACAAAACACTTAACTGTACCCTTTTCGACCCTTGTGAAATTTTAACAAAGAAATTCTTCTATTTTGCAACTATAGTAAGTCAATAGATTTTGTTTTGAAATTTTGCTCCGTATTGGTCGGCTCTTCGGTCGATGATGCTGAGGTCAAACCACAAACTTCAGAACTTTGCGACCAATTTCAAATAATAACCGATTCATTAGTTGACACGTATTGTCGACGATACAAAATTATATAACCTAGACATAAATTACGATTTGTAATCAAGCGGATGGATGATTTCGAAAATTTATGGGTTCATGCCATGCCTATATTGTTAATGCAGCTCATTGAATTGATTGAAGCGCTTAAAGCTACTTACTTAGAATCTCTACAAGAGCCATTATTCAATCAGCTTAGATTTTTCGTACACACGCACTCTTGTAGAAAAATAATTGCTTATATTATAGTTCGCTTGGCGCCAGACTGCTTTTATTATGAACCGCTGGTTTAAATAATCAAATTCTTTGAATCTTATCGCCGCATACAAATAACTCAAAATGCCTCTTGTCTAAATTAAGTGAACATAATTGATGGATACGTCGCGAGGAAGTTCGAAAGTCGTCGAAGTTTGTAAGTAATCCTCTCTCTCAGCTTGTCCAGAAAGTGTTGAATGAACACATGACTTTTCAAGCTTTCTGTTCTCTTGGTTTCCCTTGCGAATACCTAACTTCATGGTTTTGGTATTTGAATGTCACACATTATTACATTTTAAACAAGTTTAGAAGACGTCGCTTAAATATATTGCGTCGCTTGCCTACAACCAATTCAATTTCTAGCTTAAATTTTTAATAGGCCACGTCGAAGTACTCGCAATTGAAATTAATTCTAGCAGATACATGACATTTTGACCAAAAGCAAAAATGCTTTATTATTTCTTTGTTCAAATGTGCAATACTCAAAAGTGCACTATAATATATATAGTATGGAACCAAGCAGTTTATTTTAATCATTTGTCTTCAGAAAAAAATTATTAATATAAATTTAGGTAATATAAAAAATGTGATCGTATTTTGTGAATGAAATTTTGTTTTGTTTTTGTGTTATGCGATTTTTTTTGTCAAAATCGCAATTAATGTAATTTTTTTTTGAAAAAATTAATAAAGCAGATAGTTGAAATCCTTAGATCATAACCTTCATGAGAATAATGGTGTTATAGTGGGTTGCCATTTAAAAAAAATATTTTTTTTGTAGAACATCACATTTTTATATTATTTTATCATTCATCAATAAATTTTTCCAAAAAATAAATTGTTTAAGCAAAAAAGTTTGGTTTTATACTTTTTATTCACCTGGGATAATAGTATAAAATATATGATTTTTTTAGGTCTTTTTAATTAGCACAAATATACTGTTACATTGACGTGTTCACTTTATCAGCAACTAAAAGCAAATTTAATTTTATGAATCCATTTCAGTGGAAATGATTTTGTTGTATAGATGTTAAAACTAGTTTGCATGTGTATTGATGATTATTGGCATATTTAATAACATTTTGATGGCAATAATAAATAAATAATTTTATTAGTACATGTTTGAAAGCTTTGACCCAAAAAATTTGAGATAATAGTTTCTGGAAACATCGGAAATTTACAACGGAAGGGATCGGGGAATATAAGCGACCGGAAAAATAGCTTTAGAACAAACTTTACAAAAATAGCTTTCCCGTATCTGAGGGTTTATTCGCTTGGTTGCTATTTTAATTAGTTGAAAAATATTAAATTTCGGCTTGCAAATAACATTGACCGCAGTATTAAACTTTGAAAACATATTTGAAATCCTCTCCATCCAACACTTTCACCACAACTCTAATATAGCTCCGAGTTTAAGTCTTAAAAAATATATTGCAAGAGCGTAAAGGCTACGAGCTATAAAAACCACAACTTAATTTAAAATTTATGCATAACTTAAATAGGCAAGTAAAGGAAAAGTTTTACATTTTTAATAATTTATCGGCTGAATTGGAAATGTTGCGTATTGTTGTTGTTAATATTTGAAAATACCACTTTTCAGGTTATACGGGGAAAACGTGCGAAGATCAAACAAATGCTTGCCTATCGATGCCTTGTCAGAACGGCGCTACGTGCATCGGGAATGTCACCCAGTTTAAATGCGAGTGTCTTATGGGATTTTCAGGACCGTTGTGCCAACATAGTCACAACGATTGCGAATCCTCACCTTGCGTCCACGGGATATGTGTCAATCAAGAAGAAGGGTATAAATGCTTTTGCCAGCCAGGTGAGTTTTCTCAACGGGATATTCTATAATGACTTCATTTCACCTCAAATACGCATCAACAGGCTTTTTTTGGCTTCAGTTTGAAACAAAAACAGTTTTTATAGCCACTAAGTTCAAAATTACGAGACATAGAGATCTTGTTAAGTTGATTTAGAAAAGAAATAATTTTTGTTAATTTTGGACCGAGGTGTAGGTCAGAGGCCTACTGGGCGTCGTATTTTTTGGGATGATTTTGTTATTTAATTATGCTGAAATTAAGTACAAATTACTTTTGGAGTTGAAATTTCAAAGCTGTTTTCACTTGAGAGAAGTGTAGGAATGCGTACTTTATTAATTTAACGAATACTCGGGCTTTGAGAAGTTTCGTGGCCATTTTTGCTTGATCAGTCAAACCTATCTAAATCGATTTTCCTAACAATTTAGCTTTAATAGTAAACGTCTTTTATTGTCGAATTTCTCCTAGACCGTTATTTAATTTCATTAAAGGAAATTGTGTGCAATTTAGATTATCTTTACAAGAGGAAATAGAGGGAAGAAAATAAATTGGGGGCGTTAACTGGACGTTCTGGTATGGCTTTCAGCCTGGCTTTGATTTTTCTTAAATTAGTAATTCTGGCGTTTCCAACACTGTTTAATTATTAAATTATTGCTTCAGCAGCCACAGAACTAATCCCTCCGACTTGACAGCTGCTTATATATCTCGGTTCATCCCTTCAGTTGCGTTCTTTCATCCCCTCTCACAAAGTTTTTTTTTTAAATAATACGTTCCTTCGCTGCGGGAATTGCACCATTATCACGTTCCAAGCTTCAGAAAAACAAAACAGTTTTATCTTCATGAGTTTTAAAATTGTGTCACACAATAGTTGAAAGTTTTCTCAACATTGTCATTGATGTAGAAAGCTAAATGTCAACACGCTCGAATTTTTATTTGTCATTTATTACAATCAGATAAAACTTCATGGAAAATATTGTATTTTCAACTGTGAAAAGATAAAAACTTCGGATTGAAAAACTAACTACACAACTCTTTCAAATGTTGCAAGCTGAAAAGAACCTATTTTTCAATACTTGTTTGTGAAGACTCCAACTCACAGTCAGCGATTCATAACCAACAAATTACGATGGATACAATCATAATGTCTTTGAGTTCGACCTAAAATAAGAGAATTTCATACACGATTGGACTTGGCTTGGGACATCAAACTCCCACATTAAGAAAGCTTTTCAATTGTTCAAACCCAATTTTAAAGATTCAGGCCCAAAATTCAAAATTGTACTCAAAAAAAACAATTAATATTTTCTTTCTGTCGATACTCCAGCATTTCCTAAATAAAAGTAACCATCACTGAACATTCGTCCAATTCACTCTGAAATTACTTTTATAAAACATCGATATTTCTTTCATTAGTGCCACTTTTGCAACATGATTTGTTTCCAATTATAGCTTTCAGAAAAGTTATAATTTGTAAGAAATCTTTGCGTCGATTGGATTTTTTTTTGAGTAAGTATAAATAAAATAGATTTGAGGAAAAGACAAGAAAGTTGCTTCATTTAAAAGTTGGCGTTTAGTTTTAAAGTAAGTTAAGCTCATTTGAAGTGAAAACGTCAGTTAGTTGGTTAGTTGTTAACGTTAATTAAAACTGCAGTTGTTTCGATAAAATAAATAAAAATTTCAAAGCAAGTGGTTAAAGTTTTAAATAATTAAAAAAAATATAACTTAAAAATTATAAGTACTCACTAATAAAATATCATTTAAATTCACTTAGGTTATTTTTTTGATAAAAGTTTGATAGCTTCATTATCATAATAATTGTTCACCAAATTCCGAAACTATGATTGGTTTGGTATGGGCAAAAATGGGCATACTTTATCTATATTTATTTACAACTATACCGAATTTGAAAATTCTTACTTTATCTGATTTTTAAAAATCATTTAAATATTATAAAGGCATTTTGTCGGTTGTGGCCTTAAAAATTTCCTCAATAAAGTGAGAGCAAGAGACAAATGGCAAGAAAATTGATAGTGGTATATCATTGCATTGTGCATTGTAATAAACAAGTACATATAAGGATATAGTACGGTTGGGTAGTGTTGATAATGAAGTTTATTCCCTTCAGATTGCGTTTTATATTACATTAGCTGAGACATTATGGTAATTTCGAGAGACTAGCGATAGCAATGTGTTATATATTTGAAGTTTTCATTGAATCGAGGAAAGTAGCTAATTAAGAAGCAGAAAATAAAATCAGTTTGTAAACTAATTCCCGCTTGATCAATCTGAATAATTGTTGAAGGATTCACTGGAACTCACTGCGAGTACGAGTATAATGAATGTCAATCGTCTCCGTGCACAAATGGGGGCACTTGTACTGATCACGTGGGACATTATACGTGTAGTTGTGGCCGGGGCTTTACTGGGAGGAGGTGTCACATAAAGGTACGGCTGGAAATCTCTCTGGAAAATAGCAATTAAATATGAAATATTCTATCAGGTGGACCTCTGCCAACCCAATCCTTGCCCTGAGCCACGTTATTGCGTGGACCACGGCAATAACTACTCCTGTGAGTGTCCTAAAGGCTATTCTGGCCGCGATTGTTTGATTCCATCTCGAGCGGTAAGCTCAAATCAGATTGAACTTTTATCAGACTTATTTGAACGCAATTGAAGGCTTGCAGCACCAATCCTTGCACGAACGGGGGAACTTGCTGGAGTAACATGGACTCATTTTATTGTGCTTGTAAACCCGGGTACACTGGCAAAACTTGCGAAGGTTATTAACTCGCTCCGAATGAATATCTGATATTAAAATAAATACTCTTTCAGATGAGTTCGTTGTTGAAACAATAACGAACGTTGATACTATCAACAAAGAGAATGAACTCGATCTACAAATGCCGATCTCTATTCATCTTGATCATCTGCATAATGTTTATATCGCTGCTGGAACGTTAGTCTGCGCCTTTGTTATTGTGGCACTTATCGTAAGTACAAAAGCCATCAACGGCTCGTCTAAGAAATAACTTTTACCCACACCAAGTCCCAACTATTTCAACTACTGCTGCACATTTCATTCGAAACACTCTTGTCTTTTTACTCTAGACCCCGAACAAACTTTCCGAGGGTCGGTTTTTTATTATTTCAATAGAAAATTCACAAACTGAGACGTTTTTTGACACACCAAGTCCACTCAATTTTGATTTTTGGTGATATTAAAAGAAGTGATCGGCTTTTGTCGGCGTCGCTGCTCCTTTTTTCGGTCCACTTCTTGCCGGCGCGGCGAGTCGGTTGTCGTAAATAAATGAAATGATAAATTTCCGCCATCTAAAGAAATATTACACATTAATCTGTCCGTGTAGGTGACAGTTTGCCACTGCCGGGTGAACAAAACGTATAAGCGTTTTATTTCGCGGGCGAATCCGTTGTGGGGTTGCAGGAAGAGGGTGTCCCAGCCGTCGGCCACGACCAATAGGTGAGTACACCACTTTAACGACTCTCCATTTTCCCTAATTAGCACTAGATGAGGCCGCTGTCACGTCCTAACTACTCTCCAATACACTCATCAAAATAACGATCGGAATCAATTCAAATCAAAACATTTCGGGTTGTTTGAGTGGATTGGAGAGTTGAGACAATCAGCATCATCTGTTAGATGCGGTTGTTTTCTTTGAGGGTAGTTTTTTACATGATTTATTTCCGACTTTTTGGGGTAGCGAATGGTTCAGCGGGAAGGACAAAGCGGCAACGGCAACTCCTAGTCGCAGTTTACCGTCGTTGGACGCAACTGATATGTACTACACTCTAGATTTCAGCGAGAGTCAATGCTCGCCATTGATCCAGTAAATGGCTTGAAATTGTAGATTTTGTAAGCCGTTTTACTAAAGTTTATTTCGATATTATATTCAGTGTTATTTGTGTTACTTGTAGCTTTTTTCTGTGGAATCATCGCTGCATTTACTCGTTACCCTGATGCACCAACAAAATTTATTGCCGTTTCTACACGTTTATTACGTATTTATATGTACATACATACAAATAAAGAACGAATTTGCTGTATGAGATACTCACGTGTTAATTGAATCGATTTAGAGACAAAAAGTTGTTTTGTTATAGTTTTAAAGTTAACATTGCTCAAAGTGCTTTGTAAAATTTTGATAGTAGTCGCTGAGCACAAAAAGACAGAAAGTACCTAATTGTTAGATTTTTTGACATGTGCTCAACCTAGTCTTAATAAGTATTTGCATTTTGTAGCAAACATTTACAAACTAAGGTTTTATAGTCTCGAATGCTTTTATTTGCTGATGCAGAATCGAAGTGTTGTAAAGTATGAACCTAACCGAACCTAACCTAACCATGTGCCAAATATAGGATGTATGTAGTTTAAGTATCACCTGTATCTGGACTCTATCATATAAATGGGGCTTTAAAAATTGTTACTGTAAATAAAACTTATTATGTAGATGTTTCTACTTTCCACAGTGCAATGTCATTCCATCCATATAATCAATCACTTATTCATCACCAAATCTGTTTTTAAAATATGATATTGGAAATTTCCTGTTTCTAATAAAGTATGTCTAAAAGTGAGGTATTTTTATTTACCCCAATCCAAACAAACCAATCGAGAGTTTTTTGTTGTCTGGTACAAAAAGATGATAGCGCTGGTGTTGTCAGTTTTATGTTGTCTTTTGTAGGCACAGTTCCACCGAAATGTATCGACCAGCCCCAGGTAATAAATAAAATCACATATCGGACACTCGCTTGACCAGTTCTTTCATTAGGTAAACATATTTTCAAAATTCGAATTGCCGGTGCTGATGCAGACTATATCGAAATAGAAATGGATTCTCACAACTTGTCTTATAGAACTCTAATGGAAAGATGTTGTCTCGAATTGAATATTGATGGAAGTCAAGTTGAGAGAATACGGAAAATGCCTGATGTCAGGGTGCGCTCGGATGAAGATGTTGGAAGGTTTAATACTTTCGAATCTTTCGAAATTTGCTTAAAGAAAATAAACGGATTATGAAGTAATTTATTTTACGCAAATTTACATAACCAATAAAATTTTCACAAAATATATTGCGTGTAATCATTCATACTGTTCATAAAGACATTTTCCACATTTGTCGTCCCCTCTGTAATGACACAATTAGCAAAAAAAAAATTTACTTGAAAGTTACGTCACCAAAAGGAAACCATTTTGAAGTAGTTTGCCCCGAATCCAATCTGGCCGAAGCTACAGCATTTCGAATTGCCAATGGAACCGATATCGTCATACACAAAGGAGGTTCCGCAGTCGCTGTTGAATAGAAAAATTATAAAAGAAATAAAAATAAGCCCATTTGGCAATAACGGAAGGAGAGATAACTGTTATGTGCACAAGTAATGTCCGCTTTACCCTTGGAAACACTACAGTGTGATTCCGCTTGGTCACTCCCTTACTAAACAGGCCATATTGATTAGATATCAAATGCCAAAGGACACGTATTGTCAAGATTGCCATCAAATAAAATATTAGATTTATTACGACGGCGATTTTAGTAGTCTCAACCCTTCCGTTTTATTTATAGCCATACAGAGTTATTGTAAAAAGCAATTACCTTTCGACTTCAGTACACCCACAGGATTTGGATTATCCTTCGGAAATTTTACACGAAAATCGATCGGAATATCTTTAGGACCTGGAGGATAATAAGTCCAAGTGTTATTAGTTAAAATGCGACCTTCGTAATTATAAACAATTTTTTCCGTCGTGTAATAACCCATTCCCATCACAAAAGCACCCTCAACTTGACCTATGTCAATAGCAGGACTCATTGATTGTCCCGTATCTTCAATTAAATCGACTCTTGAAATAATATGTTGTCCGGTTAAAATATCGACAACAACTTCAGTCGCACAAATACCATAAATCAGATACGTATTGACATTTGGTTCGTTAGGTGAAAACCTAGGAATATTTAATAACAAAAAATCACTTGTTAAAATAAAAATTACATTCCAATTGCCGATAAATTGACATAATCATTGAAACAAGCCTTGATCCAATCCTCCCAAGTCCCATTAGGATTTTTGTCTTGGTACGGTTGAATACGAATCAATAATTGATCACAAGCTTGAATCACACCCTAAAAACCCTAATTAAAAAACAAATTACGATTCAATTACAACGTACGTAGCAAATAGCTTCAGAAGTGACACTACCACCAGTCGTCGTGTTATTTGGAGCAACAAAACTATTGCTAGGCAAAACTGTAACTTTTTCTAAAGGAATCCCAAGTTTGTAAGCACATACTTGTGCTGCTTTGGTATTAATCCCTTGTCCGACTTCAATCCCACCATGAGATATTTGTACAGTACCATCGCCGTGGAATATTGAAACCATCACAGAAAACGGACCTCCAACACCCAAAAAATACGCCATTGGTACTACTGACAAACCTTTTTTCTTCCACCGGTTTTCCTGATTGAAAGTAGCAATTTCCTGTTTTCTTTTATCGATATCAGCCCAGGTTTTTAGATCGTTGACATATTTCAAAAGTTCGGAGTCTTTCGGAAAATTTGCAATCCGCAAATCGAGAGGATCTACTCCAATTTCGTATGCCACATGTTCCATTATTGATTCAATACAGGCCAAGCCTTCAGTCGAACCTGGGGCTCGAGCCCACGTATTGGTATGCGTGTCTGTCACGACGACGTCCATGTGTATTGTAAAAGTGTCATTAATGTAATTAGCTGTAAACAAATTTAGTAATTCTTCGGCTCCTATTTCATTAATTGTGGCTCCTAAATCGGAATAGTGGGTGCAGTTCAAATACTGGATAACTCCTTCGTCATTGACCCCTACTTCGTAGTCGGTTGAAAGGGGCCATCTTTTTCCAATTGCTACCATATTTTCTTGTAGAGAGAGGGATAATTTCACCGGTTGTCTCAATTTCCACGCAGCTAAGGCTGCTGCACATGATACTAAGCCGTTTCTGCTGATTTTGGCTCCAAAAGCACCACCGAGTCTGCGTACTGTTACATTAATTTTGTTATTTTGAATTTGGAGCATTCGGGCGATTGCTGATTGGATCTGGTCCATCCATTGGGACGATGGGTAAATATCTAATCCATTTTCGTTGGGTATCACATTACAACATTGCGTTTCCATATGGAAATGGTACTGGTGATAGATATCAAATGTTCCATTTATCACGTGTTTGACATCGTTGCCTTTTCGTGTGGGTGTTATTGTTTTGATTTCTTGGATTCGATCAGTTCGACCAGCTGCCAAAACCTGACGAACTGATAGTAGAGGACCTACATTTGGCGGATCATATGTCACTTCAACCAAACTTGAAGCCTCCTTAACAACATTAGTATTTGTTCCGACCAAAATTCCGATTGGTTGCTCGTAATACAGCACACGACCACTGCAAAATATTTCTTCCATGGATGGAAATATGTCAGTGGGGGTGAAATTATTATCACCGGGAATATCCTCTTTGCTGTAAAAAGCGACAATGCCTTCCACTTCCTACAAATGACTTAAGTCCAAATAAAATTTATTGACGGAAAAAGTACCAAAGCCTTGCTTGCGTCTATATTTTTGATTGTTGAATTTGGTGGTGCTTCTGCCAGAATTAAAGTACCGTACAACTGATGAGGTACTTCAGGCATGTCATGGATGTATTGAGCTTGGCCTAGAATTTTAAAACTAGTTTTCGGGAAATTCCAATTTGGAAATTTGGAACATACCAGAAGTTTGTGCGAGTGCTTCTAATTTTGGCACAGCTTCAGTGAGTGGATACAATGATTCGTTAGTTTCATAATCTTGTGTTCCTGAAGAAACTGGTCTTGTTAGTACAGGACCTCCTGATAAATTTTTGGGAGAGAGTTTATCAGTCGGAGCAACAGTTAATACAGCCTGAAACCAAAAAATGTATTTTCGGAAAACAACTCATCTCAACACACTTTGTAAAAAAGTGCAATTGCAAGTTGTTTCCTAAATTCCGGTGTCGGATCCGGAGGTATAACATCAGTGATGAGTTCCTTAGAAAGGGTTGCAAAAACTTGTTGAAGAGTATTATTATCGAACAAATTTTTGCCTACTAGGAGCTTTTCCGACTCAGATGCGTGAATAAACGTCGGGTTTATATTTCCGTACACAATAGTCGCAGAATCAAGGATTGAATCTGTACTGAATTTAAACAAAAACCCTGCATTTACATGCGCGTGTGAATTTTGAGCCCTCGGCATTATTTTATAACTAACATATTTAACCGTGTCTGTATAACTGGGAAAAGTGATAGTTTTTAAAACTTTTAGTTTCATATCGTAACTAATAAAGTCATGAGGGGTTAATTCAACTTCATTTCCATCGATTCCAACTAAAATTTTTAAGTGAATTTATTACACCTTTGAGTGTCTGATGGATTTATTTACCAACTGTAAACGTAGCACCGATTGTTTCCAAAATAAGAAAAATATCAGAAGGAAAGTCGTGATTGTCGTGTTTCATCATTAAATTTCCAGCCAGAGTTCCCACCTAAAATACTGAAATGAAAGACAGCCGGAAAATTTAATTTTAAACTCACATTCCTCACTGGGACGTTTGCAACTAAGTCGATGTGATTAGCTAATTGTTTTAAGTAAGAGAATTGAGAGTTTTTCTCTCCAACTTGTTTGAAAAGTTCCATAGCTGTTGTAAGACTAGTACCAGCACCTAGGACAAAAGTCGTGTCTTTGACTTCTTGAACTTTGAGCTCAGGGATTGAATTTACATCTAAGTAAACACAGACACTGTTCGCATACGATTTAAAGACTCCTAGAATTTCAAATTTGGGGTGAAATATTGCCCAAAAGTCACACACATATACATACCTTTAGCTGTATTCCCCCCAACTAGCTTATAAGTCAAATCTTTTGACTGATTCAAAACAGTTAGCAAATCTTGTAAAGTGTAGACTTTAATCCATTTTGATTCCGCAAGCTCAAGACAAAACGCCTCTCCATTACACTTTGTTGCACATTTTTTTCCACATTTATCTTGCTTACACACTCTTAAGTCTTCTATATCAGGATATTTACCAAGTATTTTCGAACTAGCATCTGTGCAAAGTGATTTAAAGGCGGAAAGTATTGGTCTATATCCAGTACATCGACATATGTTGCCGCCAAATGAATTTTCAACTTCTTCCATTGTTAGTTTTCCCGATTCGTATAACGCATACATGTTCATCACCATTCCAGGCGAACAAAAACCGCATTGCGTGCCATTATATTTGGCTAGAACTTCTTGAATTGGGTGATAACCGTTTAAAGGATTTCCGATTCCTTCGATTGTGTAAATTCGCCAGCCATTACACGATAAAAGCGGAACCAAACACTAGGATCAAGACAAATTAAGACTAAGATTGAAAGGGTGAATAAATCTATACCGAATTCACCGCCAGATAAACTTCTTTCTCCGTCGTGGGTTCCACGATGTATAGCACCACGACGCAAGACCCACAACCCCCTTCATAACACAAAGATTTGGTTCCAGTCAATTGTAAAGTGTCACGAATGTAAGAATTGAGGGACGTATTTGGGGTAACTTCATCAGTTTTAACTAAATTTCACTTATTATTTTATTACTGTTATTGTTATTATCTATTAGACTTACCGGTATACTGGACATCCTGTATATATAATTTAATTTCACCAAGTCTTAAATAATTTTTCGTATTTTGAAAAGAGATAAAGCAAACAAAAATACTTACTTTTTTATCTCAGAAGCCATCTCAAAACCAGTTATCGAAATCAATCGAAGGTTAGCATATTGGATACAACTGTGTTTTTGTTCATCACTCACCTATTTATATACCAATAACTGTATGAAAAAAGATAGATGATGTTTTACGTTTCTATTTATCTTTCCAATTATGTAGTTGAAACTGAGTCAGTTTAAAAATTATAAAGTTATCTGAGACTTTTCAATTAATTCCTTTGTTTTCATAGCAATACACTTGAACTTATATCACTTAAGTAGATTTGTCTAAGTACTAGTAACTTAACTCTGTTATTGGCTATAATAATAGCACTAAACAGGATGTAGTTATTATTAGTAATAAAAATGCATTTGATTTGCTAATACATATTTTATTTGATCAACAAATAAATGCCTAATTTACAAATTAAACAATTTAGTTGATTTACCTTGGTTTAGCAAACAAATAAAAATAAATATTACACTGATAACGCAACTAGTTAATCTGTAGATAGTTAAATTTCACAAAACATATTGCGAGTAGTCATTTAAGCTATTCATGAAAACATTTTCGACATTGGTTGGACCATCTGAAAACAATCTTGTAAAATTCAAACACTAAAACAAATAAATTACCAAATGGAAACCATTTTGTATTGGAGGAATTTGCATTAAGTCTAGCAGAGGCTACAGCGTTTCGGATTGCTAAAGGCACTGCTATTGTGAGACATACAGCAGGTTCACCAGTTGCTAAATAAAATTTTTCATAAATATTTCCCCATTGTTTGAAAATTACCTTTAGATTTTAGGACCCCAACCGGATTTGGATTATTTTTCGGAAACTTGACATTAAAATCAACCGGAATGTCCTTAGCACCTGGGGGATGATAAGTCCAAGTGTTATTGGTCAAAATTTTGCCCTCGTAATTAAAAATAATATGCTCCATGGTATAGTAACCCATTCCCATAACAAAAGCACCTTCAATTTGCCCAATGTCAATTTCGGGGCTCATTGATTGACCAGTGTCTTCGATTAGGTCAACTCTGGATACTATATGTTGACCTGTCAAAATGTCCACCAAAACTTCACACGCACAAATACCGTAAATGGAATACGAAGTCACATTTTTTTCTTTAGGTGAAAACCTGGAAACAAGAAAAGAATTTCGCACAACATGGTTTGTTATATTACTGGCCACTCGCTGATAGATTGACATAATCTTCAAAACACTTTTGGATTAATTCTTCCCAAGTCACATTTTCAAATTTTTTGCGATAAGGTTTAATTCTATCTAAGAGTTGATCACAAGCTTGAATAACTCCCTGAAATTCAATTTTTCGTTCATTTGTTCATTTTTTTCTTATTTTGATATTTCCTACATAACAAACTGCCTCAGAAGTAATACTACTACCGGTCAGCATTGAATTAGGTGCCACAAAACTGTTACTCGGAATCACTGAAATTTTCTCAAGAGAGATGCCTAATTTGTAAGCACACACTTGCGCAGCCTGAAAATTATCAAAATTTTGAAACTATATTTAGGGTTTAGGACGGACTTTTGTGTTAATTCCTTGCCCAATTTCAATCCCTCCATGTGAAATTTGAACGGAACCATCTCCGTGGAAAATAGACACTGTAGCAGCAAATGGACCAGCTAGGTTCAATTCATAATTCATTGGAACCACACTTAGACCTTTCTTTTTCCATCTGTTATTCTGAATAAAAGACAATAATTTGATAAGAAACCACGATGCAAGTGAAACTTTTTTTCGGATCAATGCACGTATGAGTAAGAATATAAATGCTACACATATTGGCCTTGGCTGTTCTGCCGAACGCCTTTCACTTTACCCCTACTCCGCGGCCGACTGTAATGCGACATGCGATAGATGGACGAAAAATTTTGAGGCGATGGAATAAAAGTTTCACTTTAATAATTTAAATAATAAATGAGTTATGAACCTGATTAAAAGTGTTAATTTCGCTTTTTCTCTTATCAATATCGGCCCACGACTTAATATCGTTGACATATTTTACAAGTGGTGAGTCTTTTGGGAAATTTGCAAGCCGTACTTCCAACGGATCAACACTAGCAACATAGGAAATGTGCTCGATTATTGCTTCAATTGCTGCTAACCCTTCAGTGGTCCCTAACATTTGTTTGGTAAATTTGGTAAAAATTTTTGGCCACTTACCTGGAGCCCTAGCCCAAGTGTTAGTATGAGTGTCTGTAATTGCTTTATTCATTTGAATGTGGAAAGTGTCAGGATCATAACTAGCCATAAATAGGTTTAAAAGTTCGCCAGTACCATCCTCGTTACTAATTGCACCAACATCAGAATAGTGGGTACAATCAAGGTATTGTATAACTCCTTTATCGTTAACACCAACTTCATAGTCAGTTGAAAGCGGCCATCTTTTCCCAATTACAGCAATGTTGGTACTCAAAGACAGTGACAATTTAACTGGTTTTCGCAATTTCCAAGATGCCAAAGCAGCAGCACATGAAACCAACCCATTTCGGCTAATTTTAGCCCCAAAGGCTCCTCCACATCGACGGACAAAAACATTAATCTTGTTATTGGGGATTTTGAGCATGTTTGCGGCCGAGATTTGAGTTAAATCCATCCATTGGCTTGATGGGTAGATATCAAGTCCATCTTCGGTTGGTATGACATTGCAACATTGAGTTTCCATATGGAAATGGTACTGGTGATGAATGTCAAAAGTCCCTTTTATCACATACTTGATATCATTACCGCGGCGTTTCGGTTTGATTGTTTTTGTTTCAAGAATTCGATCTTTTCTACCAGATTTCAAAATTTGACGAACTGATAATAATGGCTCAATATTTGGTACATCATAAGTCACTTCTACTAGTTTAGTAGCCGCTTGAACAGCTTGAAAATTTTTGCCAACCAAAATTCCGATTGGTTGCTCGTAATATTGAACTCTTCCACTGCAAAAAATTTCTTCTTTGGCTGTGATATAAGCGATGTTAAGTGGAGTAAAATTGTTATCACCGGGAATGTCGTCTTTGCTAAAAAAAGCAACAATATCGTCTTGTTCCTAAAAAATTAAATGATATTTAAGTTTGAGATATTGTGAAAATTCAACCAAGGCTTTTTTCGAGTTGATACTTTTGATAATTGAATTTGGAGGTGATTCTGCAAGAACAAGAGCCCCAAATAATTGATTGGGGAGGTCTGGCATGTCATCAATGTATTGAGCTTGACCTAGAAATTTGATAATTTTGGGATTACAATTTTTTTTATTTTAATACCAGTTGTTTGTGCTAGAGCTTCTAATTTTGAAATTGGTTGAGTTAGGGGATACAAAGACTTCTTAGTGTCATAGTCTTGCACTCCTTTTGAAATTGGTCGTTGCAAGAGTGAACCACCGGATTTATTTTTTAGTGATATTTTATCAGAGGGAGCGATTGTCAAAATAGCCTATAAATTAGATTATCAAAAAAAAAAGAAAACACCAAGTTTGACAAATACTTTATAAAATAGTGCTATGGCTAATTGTTTTCTAAATTCCGGACTAGGATCAGGTGGTATCAAGTTGGGATCCAATTCTGTTGACAAAATACCATAAGCTTGTTGTAACACGCTATTATCAAACAAATGTTTGCCCACTAAAAATTTCTCAGTTTCAATAGCATGAACTAAGGTTGGGTTTATATTTCCGTAAATGATTCGAGCTTCTTGGATTAAATCATTTTCAAATTTAAATAGAAAACCAGCATTGACATGTGCATGAGTGTTTTGAGCTCTAGGCATTATCTAAAAAAAAAAGTTTCGATTTCATGTTACTAGAAATACTTTGAAATTTTTATTACCTTGTAGCTCACAAACTTTACATTAGTCGTATACTCAGGAAAAACAATATTTTGCAAAATTTTTAATTTCATGTCACTTTTAATGAAATCGAGAGGACTTAACGTTACTTCTTGTCCATTTACTGACACTACAATTAGTTACAATCGTTTTATTAATTTTTTTAAATGAGTGAGTTTACCAATAGTGAATTGAACACCCACTGTTTCCATTATTAGAAAAATATCAGAAGGAAAGTCATTATGATCATGTTTCATCATTAAATTTCCAGCTAAAGTACCTTTCTATAATATTAAATTTGTAATAGGGTAAATTGTAAATTTAATTTAACTCACATTTCTAACAGGAACATTAGCTATTAAATCAATATGTTGGGCCAAGTCTTTCAAATAGACAAAATTGGGATATTTTTTTGACGTTTCGATAAAAACTTCTATTGCTTTTGTGAGTGTAGTATTAGCTCCCAAAACGAGTGAATTATTTTTAAAATCATGAGATATTAATTCAGGAATTGAGGTTACATCTACGTATAGATCGACAGGTTTTGAGTAAGTTTTGAATACTCCTGAAATTTTTTTCGTGAAATAAATTATAATACACGTAATGTAATAAACCTTGAGCTGTGTTTCCAGCAATTAGTTTATAATTCAAACTCGAATAAGAAGACAAGGTTGTGAATAAATCCCTTAAAGTGTACACTTTAATCCACCTTGAGCTTCCTACCACATGATAAAACGGTTCCTCTGAAATCTTCTCACACTTCTTTTCACAACTGTTTCTTTGACAAACCCTTAAGTCCTCAATATCAGGATGCTGTCCGAGAATTTCCGGACACGAATCAGTACAAAGAGACTTAAAAGCTGCAAGAATAGATCTATATCCTGTACACCTGCAAATGTTCCCCCCAAAAGAATTTTCGACTTCCTCTATTGTCAAATTTCCAGATTCGTATAAAGCGTACATGTTCATAACCATCCCAGGAGAGCAAAAACCACACTGTGTGCCATTAAATTTAGCTAGAATTTGTTGGACTGGGTGGTAGCCCAAAAGTGGGCTACCTATACCCTCAACTGTGTAAACCCTCCAACCGTTACATGACAAAATTGGAATCAAGCACTACAAGTAAAATCTAAGAAAAAAAAAATTGAGATTTTATTGTGTTTTACAGAATTCACAGACAAAAATGTGTCTTTTTGGGTAATTGAGTCTTTTTTTTGTATAACTACAACGCAAGCACCGCAACCGCCTTCATGACACATTGCTTTAGTTCCGGTTAAGTTTAAATTTTGTCGCAGGTACGAGTTTAGAGTTGTGTTAGGGTTGATGCTATCTGTTTTGACTAAATTTCAAATTATTCTTTGCCTATTTTTTTTAATTTACGTACCAACATGCTCAGTGTCGTGCAAATAAAACCTGATCTCCTCAAGCCTAAAAACTGGCTTTCAATTTTTGCAAAAATTTTAACAATACGTACTTTTTTATTTTTGGTAAATTTAAATCTTCAAGAACTGATTGTGTCGTTCCCATTTGGTCACTAAAACAAACCACGTGTTGCCCGAACTAGTTTAAGAGTTCACAGCAACTGATAGTAACCGGTTGACTTTCACGCTTTAATGGAAAAACGAACGGTTTTAAAATAATTTCTCATAGTTTGTTGACCGGTTAAAAGTCAATTTATAAAACACATAGGTTATATTATTTATTTATATGTTGAGAAAACATTCTTGACATAGGTGGTACCTAAAAGGAAATGATTAAGACTTTATCTACAGTATGTTCCCGGATTGAGTTTACAAAAGGAAAAAAAAGTTATCCCTGCTTTTTAAGTCTTATCACATTGGCAGTTTTATTTATTTGACAACTATATGTCACTTTGACAATTAATTTATTAATTGAATCATGATAGTGCTTGTTAAAAATTACTTTGTTTCTTATCTTAAGGCTGTTTGAGTTGCCATTTATTAAAATTATGTTTTTCAGAAACATTTTTGTTATTTAACTTGCGTAAACTCATTTGTCAAAGTGGCATCATTATCAAAAAATAAAACCGCCAATGTGATGGAATTTAAAAAGCTGAGAAATAATCTTACAAAATCAAAAGAAAAATAAACTTTTCTTTCTACTGAGTTAGAATAATGATGTTTTAATTACGGATTTGCTCGTTTCAGGTGAAGCAAAAAATGTTTTTCCTTTGCAGTTTTGACGTAAAATCTAAGATAAAAGAATTTTTCCTCTTGTAAACTCAATTCGGGGAAATACTGTATGTAAAAACCGTCAAAATAGTCAAACTCCAGCATAATTTATAATTTATAAACTATCAAAAAGTACCTAAGATCGTTAAAAGTGCAAGAATATCTATTGACCAGATTTTAAAATTTTCAATTATTCGCAAAAAATTAAATTAGAAGTAGATTACTTTAAAAAAAATATTAACAAATTATTTATTTTGATTTATCTTAAGGAAATCAAAAAAATCGTGTTTACGGTAAAACAAAGGCTCTTATGCTCTTTATCTTTCTTATACTTTGCTCTCTTGTTTGTTCTTATGCATTTATTCTTTCTTTCTTTCTCTTTTTTATACTTATTAGAACATGTGCACATCTCTTATGCTTTTGTTCTTATGATTATGCTTTCTTATAAACTTATTATGCTTACTACTAGGTCTATGTTGTACATATTTTAAAGTTTGCGCTCTTATGCGCTTGCTAATTTGAATTAGTATGTGAATTTGAATTAGAGAAAAATTAATCTTATGCCACTAAGCTCCTGGCATGTATTTGTGCTCTAGTCTAATATAATCATTTTATTAAAAAAAAATTTTTTTTTCGTGTTTTCAGGACGTTTTATGTACTTTTAGATCCCTCGAAGTGCATTTCGATGAATTTCAAAGTTTACAATTTTTAGTTTTATGACAAAATTTTGGGCGATTGCCAATAACTTCGGAATTATTCTACAGCCCGTTATATTTCGTACCGTTTAAAAGTACTTTTAATTTCCTGTCTTATAAAAAAAAGATCATTGCCCACGGCAAATAGTTATTGAGAAAATGGCTGGTAAAGACAAAAATAGCAAAAATATTAACTCGAGAATAACTTCTCTAAACTATCGAGAATTTTGCTGTTTCCTTGCCACCAATCGACTCCTCGGAACATACACATAGGTGTAGTACCGTTTTCAATATACTTTAGTCGGAATTAACAAAATAAAATTGAATGATTTTTTTTTTAATTCCTTTCCTTTAAAAATGGTCGTGTCTCAGATTCTATTTAAATCTATCTTATCCGATAGATTTTTACACGCTGATTACGAATTTACCAAGCAAATCTCTTCTAGTTTCGCCGTAATTATTGGTTAAAAACATTTTTTTTGCGGAATATTGACTCTGTATTTGCGTCAATCGATAGATTTCTTTTACGCCGATTTTGATGGTGTTGAGCTTTTTACTCTAAGTCTAATAGTTTCGCCGTTCAAAAAATACGAATTGTCAAAATTGTAAAAATTTTATGCACTTTTTGAATTTCTAGGACCTATAGAAATATAAAAACAAAAACGTTCTATGGTTCAATTTTAAAATGCTCAAATTTTTTATTAATTATTTTGTTCGAAATTTTGGTTGATTTTTGATATTGGTTTAAATTGGGTTTAACATTACATTAACGTTAATAAAGGAGCTTCTTTCTTACTTAGTTCAACATAGGTACCTATTTTTTATTAAATAAATCAAAATGTATTACTCCTATAAACAACATTCTGTGCCACCTATACATGAGTGGCGAAAGTACAGAAAGCTAACTGTATTGATTACAGAATTATTTGTTTTAATGTTGTACAACAATTTAGTTATTTTTTATAATTTTTTATCATTATAATATTAGTTTTTGTTGTTTTTTATTAGTTTAAAAATTATTAATTTTAATTATTGCAAAAAAAATGTTGCCAATTATTCAACTCCAATTTCCCTAAAATTACACCCAACATTTTATTGATTTATTTAACTCTAAATTTGTTTTATCAATTTTTAAACACAACAATAAGTCTAAAATGCAAAACTAATTGTTTCAAGAAACATTTTTAAGTTCAGATTTTTAATATATAGCTTAGTTTGGTAAGCTAAAATTTGATATCCAAATGTCAATTGTAAGGGGGCGCCACCTCTGTTTGTAAACAACATTTGGAGGGAAAATAACAGAAATGTAGCCGGGTTCTTAGGTGTCTTTTGCCCTTTTTTCCTTAAAAAAAGATTGTGTCAGTATTTCATTAGTGTTACGTAGTGTTAGATTCAAGTTTTGATTCAAAATTAAGTGTGAGCAATGGGCATTTCTCAACTGTTACCCTTCTTGGAGAAGAGCACCCGGCCTTGCCATGTCTCTGAGTTTCGGGGGCGCACGGTGGCTGTCGACAGCTACTGTTGGCTGCATCGAGGTGCTAGAAGCTGTGCTTTGCAATTGGCAAAAGGCGAAAAGACTGATTTGTAAGTGACAATTTTGCATTAAGTTGAGGCTCACTTCCCAGGTTTACTTAGATTTGTTAACTACTGCATGAAATTCGTCCGGATGCTCCTCAGCCATGACATTAGACCGATTATGGTGTTTGACGGCCGTCACTTGCCAGCGAAACTAAAGACTGAAGAGAAACGACGAGAGTTGAAAAAATTAGCCCGTAGACAGGGGATGGAGTGTCTCAGATTGGGGCACACTAGTGACGCTTATAAGTTTTTCGCGCAATCGGTTGATGTCACTCCTGAAATGGCCCTAGATCTCATTAAAGAGTGCCGAAAACTACACGTTGATTGCATTGTAGCCCCGTATGAAGCTGACGCCCAGTTGGCTCATTTTAATTTAAGGGGGCTAGCAGATTGCATCATAACTGAGGACTCTGATTTGCTACTATTTGGGTGTTTGAAAGTAAGTCAAAATAGCGTGATTTACTCGTATTATCATTATTTTTCCAGGTCTTGTATAAAATGGATATCAATGGACGGGGGCAACTTGTTGAAGCCGACAAAATACACATTTCTATGAATATGAAACCAACTTGCTTCACTTTGGAGAAATTTCGCTACATGTGCATCTTGTCAGGGTGCGATTATGTGGATTCCCTTCCCGGAATTGGGATTAGAAAAGCCTTGAAATTTATATCCATGACAGCGGAGACTAACCCTGCTATAGTACGTTTCTATAATATACAGGGTGTCAAAACTCGCGCCCCAGAGAAAAATTTCAAGTAAGATAAAATACCAGAAACATGGAAACAATTTTAAAAAAATTCTGTCAAAAAATTTTGACATTTATTTTTGACATTTGACAGCAAAAAACATGGAAAATAATTTTTTCACGAGAAATAGAGTCAAAATGCAAAATTTAAAGTCTCATAATTTCGAAATTTTTATGGGTAGAGTTTTTTTAACATATTTTCCTTGTTCCTGGTATCTTGTCTTACATGGGACGCAAAGTTTGGCGCATCTGTATAGAAGATATTAATTAATTATTATAAAATATAAGCACAAATTTGATTTAAATTTTAGTTTCTAGATAAATTACCACGGTACTTAAAGATGCCTTCTCTGACAGTCACTGATGACTATAAATTTGAGTTCCTAGTTGCAAACGCAACATTTTTGCACCAACTTGTATTTGACCCAATACAAAAGAAATTAGTTCCGTTAACTCCAGTCAGTACAAATATTAACTACTGCCAAAATGCCGGCGACTTCTTTGATAATAAAATCGCCTTGCAACTGGCTTTGGGCAACCTGAACCCTCTTACGATGCTACCAATGGACAACTGGGACCCCAGCAACAGTATTGTAAGCATTCCATTGTTGAAAAACCACCAAAAATAAACAATTTTGATTTTTAGATGAATGAATTCAGTATTTGGTCTCCAAAGTTCCGGTTCCGTCCTCCCGTTTCTCGTCCCGAGTCGACGGTTTCAACCCCATTCAAGTTTCAACCAGTTGATCCTTCGGCCATTGAAGCATCAGTGGCTCAACACGAGGACGAAATCGAAAGAGAACTCGCTTTCTACAATGAGCCTTCTTGCGCAAATGCACCGAAGGTAGAAACAGAAAGGACTGAATCTCATGAGTCCAGCGCTTCTACCTCTCCTGTGTTGGGAAAAAACCCTTTCTTGAAGAGGAAACTCAGCAAATTCCAACCGACGGATACCTCCTGTCAGCCGAGAGTTGTTAGTCGTTTCTTCTCGTCATCTGAAGGATCTGAAAGATCTGAAAACTTGGATAGTTCCTTCTCATCTGTGCAAACCCCTGAGAGTTGTAGTCCTGTCATATTGACGCCTGAGGATAGCAATTCTGAAGGCAGTTCGCTTGTTGTAGAATGTGAATGCGTTCTAGAAGTGGACGATTCGGTTTTACTCAGCGTCGAAAATTTACCAAATCCTGATCGCAAACGCCGCCACGAGGATGGAGATGATGGAAAGGGGAAGAAGAAAAGGCAAGCTACCATTCAAGAAATGTTCAAGAAGATGCAGACTCGTTGAACTTTTTTTTTCTAGTTATTTAAAGTACCAAAGGAGCTTTAAATCAAAGTTATATTTATTTGTAAAACCAAATGAATTCTCTATCTTAGATTTAAGTTTTGTGATGTTTTGTGATTTTACTCGTTAGCAGATTTTTGAGGGTTTTCTTATTTAAAAACTTTTCATTCAATCGTATCATTTAAATAGTTATAAAACAATGATTACGTGTTTGCATGAGTTTTTCACACCAGTCGTTTCTATATCATAGTTTTAGTATCTAAATTGTAAAAATTATTTATTTTTCCAGTTACCTGTCCCAAAGGGGTTTTCTATAGTATAAGAATAAGAATCTTGTAATGATATTATCTTGTGATCATTTTTGTTTGTATGTTCCAGTTTTTGTAAAGTTTTAAATAAAAAGTTTCTGAAATAATTATTTACTTTTCATTTAAAAAACCTTTTCATTCTATTTGTATCATTTAAATGATTATAAAGTGTATGTCGATATTTCAAAATGACTAATCACTAGTTCCATCTGATGTTATGTTGTCTTTCGATAGAAATGGAATAATGTACTTTTTAAAAAAGAAGGATAAAACGATTTCATATCGCTTATGAATATGATATGAATTTTCAAATATATTAATAAAAGCTGCTCCATTTGATTTTAGTATTTTTAATTTTCATTGTCCTAATCTAGGTATTTTGGAACAAATTAAAACTTTATTAAACAAACTAGCTTCTTATAGTTTTGTACCTGAATAATCCAATTATTTTTTATTGCCAAAACGATTTATTTTATATCTCATTGTTTCCGATTTTCGTAAATAAGATATGTTATGGAATGCGTATTTTACAGTTTTTGATTTTTTCAATGTATATTGAAAAAACAGTGTTGTACAAAATTAAGTACGAAGCAAAAAAATATCTTAAAAACAAATCAATATATTGAAATATATTTTTTTGAAACAATAGATATAAACAGGTACTTTACGGACGTAGTAATGCAAGTATTCCAAAAGCTTGTTATTAACAAATTATTTAAAAATATATCGTTTAAGCAAAAAAAAATTACCTAAAATTATGAAAGTTTTTAAATTTCTCAAAAAATTCATTTAAAAGCCTTCAGATTTTTACTATATCCCTATACAAGTTTCAAGACGGACGTTTTAGAAATGGCTGAAAAAAAATTTTTTTGAGAGCGCTGCATAGTGCAGCCTGAAAGTAACGTTTCCATGGAAATTAAATATAAAAAATACCAATTACCGTCATTACTAAACTGTTCTAAATAAAACACATGATTTCCAACAAAATTAAAATTTATTTTTCAAAAATCAATATTTGAAAACAAATTCCTCAGTAGAGGAGGAGTATTTTTTATATTTTAATATTGGCATAAAAGTGTGTAGGTCTCACATTACTTTTAGGGTGTTTGCTAGACTAAAACAATGTTTTAAAGAATCGCAATGTTTCTCAAAATGTCAACAAAAAGTATGGAACCAAACGTTTTTTGCTTAAAATTGTTTATTATTTGAAAAAACAATTGATGGATGACAATGTACTGAAAAAATAAGTCTATCCACATTTTATTCAATTTTTATTTATTGAGAAGAAAAAGAATCGCTTAACTCAAAAACAAAACACAATTATATCTCAAAATACGATCACATTTTCACAGAAATTTAATTTTTAATAATTATTATTTTCTGAAGACAAATTATTAAAAAAAACTTTTGGTTCCGTACTTGTATAGCAAAACGTAATATTTGAAACTACCCAACTAAATGAATTTTTTGTAAACTATCAAAAGATATACAAAGAGTAGATATTTTACATATTATTGGTATTTAAAAAAAATAATAAAACAAAGAAATTAGAATAATTTAATTTATTAATTACGATAATGGGTAATTTTATATTTAGAGTCCATAGAAATGCTACTTTCAGGCGATTCCAGAGAGCAGCGCTCTCAAAAAAAAAACTTTTTCAGCCATTTCTAAAACGTCCGTTCAGAAACTTGTATGGGAACATAGTAAAAATCTGAAGGCTTTTATATAAATTTTTGATAATTTTAAAACCTGCATAATTGTAATTTTTTTGCTTAAACAATATATTTTTAAATAATTTGTTAATAACAAGCTTTTGGAATTACCAGGTCTGTGGAGTACCTATCTATATCTATATTGTTAAAAAAGCATTCCAATATATTGATTTGTTCTTAAATTTTTTTTGTTTTGAGGCATTTAATTTTGTACATCCCTGTTTTTTCAATATACATTGAAAAAAAAAACTGTAAATATGTGTCACCTATTTTTATGTGTTTTATACATATCTAAAATTTACGAAAATCGAAAAAATGAGATTTAAAAGTGATCATTTTGGCATGGAATTTATGAATACTGTTTTGTTTTTTTCTCGAATAGCCAGACCAGGCCAATCTAGTGTTTTTTAATAAAGAAACAAAATTGGGTTTAAGGTTTTGGTTTTTCATCGCATATATTCAGAAAATAGGTGAATTTTTATAACACTATTTCAATATTTCAACCTAGCAATTCCAAACTTAAATTTAAAATTTACTATATCATATTGTGATATTTGATAAATAATGTTGAAATATTTTTTTCGTAAAATGTACGAGAATGTAGTTGCGGTGTTGTGAAGAGCATTTATAGCTTCCCTTTAAATTTATTTATTATCTAAATTTAGAAAAATACAATGAAACACTTAAAGTTTTTTGTTCCGAGTAAAATAGTTTAAAAGTGAATATTCCTGACTCCCGAAATCCATTGTCGCTTTTCATTTCCGGTACCTGAAGTTAAGAATAGACATCTTGTCAATTCCGAGATAAGGCAAGGTATATTTTAAAGCACTTTTCTTCCACCCCCCGTTTGCAATTACTACCTGGTTATTGTCGTGTCCAGTGTCCAACACCCTGTTTATTAGTATTGGCACAACCCTAGTGGTGAAAACATCTCAAAGGTAGGATCTTTAATTATTTTTGTCTCATAATTAACTCTCCTAAATTCAGATGGTGTTAACAAAGCGAACCCTTGCTTTTGCGACTTTGGTTCTAATTTCGTCCGTCGCAACAAGTCCCACACAAAATCCCACCAAGAAGGATGACAGAAGTGAAGTAGGAGGTCTTAACTGGTCATTTTATAACTTTGCGGCAATTAGCGCCGTGGTATTAGTGGCTGGAGTTGGGTTTGCGGGTCTCTTGTCCCTTCTATTATTACCGTTTGTTCATAATGTGTGTTTTCTACTCGGAACTTGTGATACGTTAGATGTTTGGGAGCAATTTTCTCTCCCTCGGAAAGTCAACAAGCGTTCTATTGAATACCTGGAGCCCATGATGACCACTCTTGCAAACGCTTACGAGAAATACGCAGACAGTGATGTAAAAAAAAAGTCCAAGAAACTCAGATATTGAAAACGATTGCTTTCTCTCTACAAATTGTTCCATTGACTATTAATATTATCAGAGTTGCGTCTGTTGTGTTTTATTTAATGATTCAATTGTTCCATTTAGTGACAAATTTTCTTGTTTTATTTAAGAATTGGTACGGTTAAAATTGTAACTTTTCAAGTATCGAATAAATAAAATTATGAACGATTACTGAGTGTATTCTTTCTGAGTGATTTCATTCAATTCGTTCAATTGTGTCATTTAATTATAAGGAAAGGAAGAAAGGGAATGAAAGATGTACGACGCTTGAAAAAGGTACGTTTTAATACTGTGACAAATTACAACAATCTAGTTACACAATTGCAGTACAAAAATAAAATAATAGGGTGCACTTATCTATATAAATAGGAAAAAAAAGAAAATATATTTAATTTGACTTGTCTACTACTATGTAAATAAATTTATAAAATCAACAATTTCCTTGTTAAGCTAACTAAGACAATATGAAAATTGTTCTGTTGACATCATCTCGTTAAAATTTTCAAAAATTATAGTTTCGATCCGTTCTGTAGATGCCTTGTTATCGGAGAGTAGGTGGTTGGGTTTAAGGGGCGCGTGTTATAATTAGGAGAGGCAGAAGGGCCGAAACAAGGGCTGTTCACGTTCCACTTGCAATTACAGGAACTGCTGGAAATCCGCCCTCTATGACAGGGTAAGAGGTGGTCGTAGCCATTTTCGAGTTATAGCCGGTCTAGCATTACATATTCTCTTTACTAAAAGGAGTTCAATTTAAAAAACGCCTTCGGCTACAAACACAATTCGGAGAAGGGTCATAGAACGAAAGATCGTAGTCCACGCATCAATTTGCATAGGGGATCACACAAATAAGTGCGCAAAACATATAAATGAGTCGTTTATTAGCATAGAAAATAACAGTCAAAGTGTCACACCCAAAAAACAGTCTTTAAAAACGCAGTTCTCCGATTAACACGATTACGTTATTAAACAAATACCTTTCACACTTATTGTTTACATACTATAATTGTTTTCTATGAAACTGCTGACTCGTGATTAACACAATTAACGGAAGTTTATTATTACGTCTTGGAGAAAACTAGCTCCTGTTGGCTAAACCTTGGGCATTATTAAGGTACGATTGGATGTATCACAACTAAACTACGTACAGAGAAAATCTGTCGACTAATTATTTTTGTCGAAGGCTGTTCTGGGTGTTTGCCTCTTTGTAAAAAGAAAGGCAATTCCGACAATTGCCATTAGGGTGATATAGACAATGGCAGCGTTGATCGCGGCTACAGCCCAAGTGTTGGGTTCTAGTTCCGATCCGCGATAATCCCATGAATTGGCGGCTCGTGGGGATCTTTGCAAAACAGGGAGTTGCTCGCATCCCGATTCCCGGACATATTTGGCCCACGTACGATTGGTGGAAGTTAAGACTCTTTGAGGTTTGATGAAGGGTCTGCGTCCGCGAACCGTTTTGGTTATAATAGGCAGAGGTTGGGACGTGTCGTAATTGCAAACAAGGAGTTTTTTACGTTTGTTGGTTTTGCCCACTGTCACGTGTTCGGCTGCGATGGTTGAGCCTTCCAAAATGCCAAGACTGCCCTTTTCTAAATTGGCCCAATCCCATAATTCGGCGACGGTGCAGTCGCACCTCCACGGATTACCGATTAGTTTTAGTTTTTCCACGTTGGGATTTAAATAGATTGTCTTTGGCGGAAATGAGGATAATTTATTATACCTCAAATCGAGCATTTTTAGTTTAGGTAGTAATTCAAGGAACTGTAAATTATCGGCTGAGGAGAAATGGTTTCCGCTTAGAATCAATGTGGTAATATTTCTAGTCCAATAGAAAGCATCCGATGGTAGAAACGTCAAATTACAATTGCTCAAATCTAAAGTTAGAAGTCTTGATAATTGTTTAGGTAAAAGAGGACCTGATTTGGATACTTGAAGCGGATTTCCTGCCAATTGTAATTCAGTTAAATCGGTGTAAGTCAAGTTATTGAAGAATAACGTTGCGTTAATCGATCGTCTCAAACCACAAGAATTTAATTCTAAACTTTCAAGTTTAGTTAAGTCGCCAAAAAGACCGGCCTCCAAATTATTCAACTCATTCCCGGAAAGTACTAAACGTTTCATATTTGTCATTTTTGAAAATGATGTCGGAGCTATGTATGATAAATTACTGTAACCCATATTTAAGTATTCTAATTTATCGAGAGGCGTCAATAATTTGACAAATGCGTCATTGAGAGGATTATGGGAAATATCGAGTTCTTGTAGACTTTTGAAGTTATGGAAAGTATCCGGTAGACGAGTTAATCCACAATTACTTAAAGAAAGTCGCTCTAAATTTGATAATGGAGGCAAAGCAACCAATAAATCGGACGCAAATAATGAATTTCCTGATAGGAACAAACTACGAATTTTTGTCGCGTTCACGAAAGCATCTTCCGATAGAGGCAATGTTAAATTACAGAAAGACAGATCTAATGAATCCAATTGTTGGAGTTTCCCGACGGTTTGTGATACATCAAAATCGTTCAACTCATTTTGTGCCAAAATTAGCGTTCTTAAATAAGTGTTATTATGGAAGACAATTTCGGGCAAGTGACGAATTTGTGAATTTCGAAGATCGAGATACTCTAATCGGGGGAGATAATCAAGAACTGATGACCAATCAGTAGTAAGCATGTTAGCGCTTAATTCTAAATTTTTGAGATTTTCCAATGAATTGAAGGCATAATTTGCAATGTAAGTCAAATTGCAGGCGTTCATTTTCAGCGTTTCCAGACTAGACAAAGGCTCGAAGACTTTATTATCTATCACTCCTAAGGGATTTCCGGATAAGTCGAGCGTACTCAGTGCGGTAATATTGGCGAAGAAAAGTGGATTTAAATATTTTAGGCCACAGTTGCTGATATCCAAATAATGCAATGACTTGATGGATAAGAATATTCCATCGACCGGATCTAACGGATTCCCTTGAAGTTCCAACGTGATAAACCCCGGCGAATCACTGAAAATAACCTTCTGGAACTTCATTCACAAAATCATTCTCTTTTACTTACTCGAAGCAATCAGGATCGACTCTAGTTATCATATTCCCTGAAAAATCGGCATCGATCAGATAGTTAAGTCCCGCGAACGACTCCTTCTTCAATTCAGTCATGAGATTGTCCGCGAGTTGCAACCGACGCATTTTGATGTCGTGAGGAAACGGCCCGACATCAGTAATCTGATTGTTGTTCAAGTCCAAAACGTAAACATTCAGACTCAACTCATCGTAAGGTATCTCAGTTAGGTTGCTATCGGAACAATCTGTCACCCAATTGATCCGAAAGTAATGGCAATCGCAATCGTCCGGACATTCCAGTTCCGCCAATTGACCATTAAAACACAAACTCAAACCGATGCACAAAGCGTTTAATAACACCACCAACTTCATTCTCGCAATTCAGACGTTCTGTAACAGACAATGAAACCACCAACTATTATCAGGGGGATATTTTTTGATTAAATCTGCGTCGCTACCTAATTATTTGTTTGTGTAAAATTCCAGTCCTGACTCATATACAGCTCTAGTTTTAACAAGTTTTGTAATAACAAATCGTATGACGCGGTTTTATGCGTGCGCAGACTGGTTCAAAGCCGGCGTATTGGACTAACCTAGCAGAAGCCTCAAATCCTGCCTATGTTTCTTTGTTTTTTTCTTATAAAAATTCATTTAGCCGAAAGGGAACAATGTCTTACCGTATACTGCACCAATATGCACTTCACAAAGCTCACCAAACGCATGACAACGCCACAAATGTTAACTGAGCTGAATAATGCACGAGTGTCGATCCATTTTGCAGGAGCAGTCGAGCAGCGAACAGCAGGAGTGGAAGCTTCGCATTTACGAAGTAACACGAAGTTATGCTCACACGATCACATCATTTATATGACAATGTAAATTGAATTCGCCTTGTTTGGATTAGTAATTAGATGGAAGATACGGAGATAGATGAGGGACATCTCCCAGTGGGTTTAACGAGCCGAAACGAGGCAAATAAAATAAAATAAAATAAAAAAAACAAAAATTAAAATCTGACTTGCCGCAGGCCGAATAATAATGATATTAATAAAGACATGATTTTCTTTGTTACTTATTTATTCTGCAATGTTTTGTGTACGTGCTCGTAAGTTCCGAGTTCTTTGGTCACGTCAGAAAGTCTACAAAGACTGGTAATTACGTATCTGGATGCGTTCTTGAGCAAAGATGGATTTTTGCGTTGTGCCCTTATTCATTAATTAATTTTCAACAGAGAGATTATATATCAAACATCGATAATAATAGGCAGCCTTCTACTTATCCCGTTTTCTTTTTCGATTCTCTTTGATGTTAGTATCTTCTTTTAAAGCGAATACGTTTTGTGCATGAATTTCATAGTTAGTTTCACCTTTCGTATTTAATTGACGTAACAAAAATTAGTGACATTTTATTTCGAGGCTGTGTTTTTTATGATTATTTTAACAATGACAAAACTAGGAACTGACGTTACTCTACTTTAAACCGTAAATAAATTGAAATTTCACGCTTGCTTGAAAATTTAATGGTCAATAAGGTTGAGCATCATCAACCGGTCTACCTTGCTTTATCAGCTGATTTTGTCAAAGGTCGTTCACGTGTGATGTTCTTTATTCTTTTTAGACTAAGCAGAAAAATTATGCTCACCTTGTTAGTATTTCTTATTAACATTTTTACGTCTTCGAAGTACCCTACCAATTAAAATTAATTCCAAAACACCTTTTCGTTTATTTTTAGGAGTCCCGTGGGTAATTTCATACTTAACATTAAATGTAATTAAAAACTGAATTCAATTTAGAGCGCTTAATTGCTAAGAAAGCTCCCAACACAAACAGGAACGTTGACTTATTTGCCACAACGAAAAACTGCTATTATTCTAGTTAAAATAAAAAATCAGCGATATTTCAATTGTGACAGTGATTGCGGATGTCGAGTAATTTGTTGTAAGGTCAATTACGTGCGACAATAGTGGTTTCGCAACGGATTTTTGATTCTGTTGTTTCAAATAACACAGATTCAGTTAGCGGGGGTTAAATTAGGCTATTGTGGTAGTTATTTTTTTAAGAGAGTGGTGGAAGAAGAATAAACATACATATGCAAGACTCCTTTTCCGGCTTCATCAATATGCGAATGGATGGTTGTTAAACAAAGGCATGAATGTGCGGTCGATACAACAATTTACATTTCCAGCAGCTTGACAATTTTCATGATGAAACTGAAGTGACCTCATAAAGAAGATTGTAAGAAAGTGAAAGTAGCGTCTCTTTGATCTAGATGTAAATGACAATTGTTTAATTAAGCAGCAGGTTTACTAAATAGTACTAGATGCTGCTGAATATGCATGAAGTTAGGAGGAACATTGTTTTCACCTGTCTACAATTGTGATACTTGGAAATTAATGTGGGGCCTAATCGATAAACTTAAGACGAGATAAAGTGTTATCTGTGTGAGAGTGGTGGAAAAAAAGGAAAGTAATGAAAGAGGTGTTTTTGTAATTTTTGTAATTGTTTATTTCTTATAATTTAATAAACATTATGTAACGTATGGAGCAGGAAGTAAATAGTAGTAGTCATAATTAAGAACAGGTATTATTGTGAACAAATGTACACATGACAATATTTTGATTTTGTTAAATCTATATATGTAGTAAAATATTTTTACTGCGTGTGTAAAGGTTCCTAAAGTAAGTTGCGTTAGAACAGCTATACATGGTCCAGTATCGCGGTTGACAGCATGAAAGATATAGAAGAAAAATGAAGAATTGTTAAATGCAATAAGATATTGCAGTCGGTTCGGATAATCTTTATTGCTTTAGTTCACAACTTTACACATCATTATTAATTTAAAGCTATTTGACACATTTTGGAGTAGCAAAAACGGACACTTTAAAAACGAATCAGTCTTTTTGAATCTGTACTGAGTTGAATGTGAATCGAGCTCAATGGCAGAGCGTTTTATATCCAGATCGAGTCGAGCTCTTGACATATAACATATGATACACGTGTTCTATAAAATATAAATGCAGGCGCACTCGCCAAATTTCTATACCCGAATTTTAGGAAGAACCTAACGATCCGCACAAACAGATCACACTGGAGTTACACATAGACGATATGGGGTCTCGTCTTGTTGTTTAAATCTAAATGTTCATAAATGTTCATATTGCCGGCACAGTCCGCGTTGTAGGGGTCCCAGGAGGGTAACGAGCGGTAGTCGTGATGTATGAGAGGTGGCGCGATCATGCACTTATCTGTCCTTATGTTCTCGAAAGGTTCACTCCTTCCGTTCGAACAAGTTCCGACGGTTTTATTCCGACACCTGCTGTCGACTCCTGCCAGTTCCTTCTCTTTAGCACATGTCCTCTTTATCGGGCCCCAATACAACAAACCGCCGACTATAGCGACCATAAATAGGGCCGTTAGTGTTGCCGAAACGGCTGCAATCCAGCTGACAGAACAGTCCACTTGGGATTCGGTGGCATCTGCCAAGAGAACATCAGTCAAAGGCTCCGGGCCGGCACATCTTATATCCTCCAAGTCTACAACTAATTCTCCAGGAGTTTCTACTTCTTTTTCTTCTGATGTATCATTGCCCAAATCAAACAAATGTTTTGATTTTTGGTCTTGAATCAAATGCCAAAGCCACGATAAAGAACAGTTACACTCCAAAGGATTTCCCCCTAATTTCAAAACACGTAACTGATCTAAAGGGAAATGGGTCACTTCTATGTTTGTTAATCGGTTATTACGTACAGATAAGTGTGTAACATGAGGATTTCCATGAAATAATCGTGTTGGTAGTCTATCTACCGCTATGTTATCGTCTAACCAAACTCTCTCAAGGTTTATGTTATCGACGAATGCTCTGGCGTCTATCCTTTGGAGGATTTCTTGACGATCTAATCTAAGAAAACGTAAATGAAAGAGTCCTTTAAAAGCAACCGGTGGGACGGTACTTATAAAATTACCGCTCAATTTTAATTTCGTTATGTTTGATAATTTCATCAGTGATGGTGTTGGTATTACTGTAAAGTTATTATCACTTAGATCTAGATGATCTAAAGAAAGAAGTCCCGATAAAGACGATTGATGTATCTCATTGATGAGATTTTTTTGTAGAAGTAAAGTTCGTAATTCGGGAAGTGGCGGCATTTGATTTTCTTTGATAGATTTGATAAGATTACATGCAAGTGACAAGAATCTCAAATTAACACTATCAGTTAATGCTCCCGTTGGTAATTCTAGAAATAGATTATAATCTAGAAGTAATTCTTGTAGATGTTTAGCAGATTTAAAAATCCCTTCTTCTAGATAAACCAGTCGATTTTGTGATAGTTTCAGTACTTGAAGTGAATGTAGTTCCCTAAAAGACTCTGATTTGAGTTCTTCTAATTTATTGTGGCTGAGATCAAGATTGATGACTGCTCTAAGTCCTTTGAACGAATCCTTGGATATTTTCTCTATATCATTTCTGCTGAGATTGAGTTGTTTGAGATTATGTTGCATATCAAAGTTTGAGGATCCAAGATTTTTAATCTTGTTGGATGATAGATCAAGTGTTACTAAGAAGTTGTAGAATCGGAAAGTGAAGGAGACATGTGTGATTTTGTTGTCGGAAAGATCGATATGTCGCACTTCGGGATTGAGCTGGATGGGGACGACTTCGAGAGCTGCTGAGCCACAAGAAGCGGTGAGAGTGTCGTCGTTGCAGTGGCATCTAGCAGGACATATGGCTCCATCGCTGGCAGATCCGATCGTCGCCAGCACCAGCATGGTAGGTAGCGTCTGCCACCACATGGGCCGGGTCTTCTCACCCCCCATGCCAGGCTCGGCGCTCCGTCATGGGATCTAAAACAACAAGTCGAGTTAGTGCATGTCATCAACGACGAGCCTCGTTTTGATGCCGTTGCCAGGAGACGCGTAATGTCCTCCCCGCCCTTATCCGTTCCGGTCACGAGAATTAAGACAAATGACTATACAAAAACCAGGAGATACTGCATACTTGATAAGGATTTGATGGCGGCGCATCTAGCGGACGAAGAAATTGATTATCAGCAGGCCCGGAGTGGCCCAACGCGCCAATCCACTTGATGAATTTCGTTTTTGTAATACATATCACAATGTATATAATTTTATTGAAATGCGGCCCTGACTTTTGGAGATGTGGAATCGAGTAACGTTGCAGTCGGATTTAAGACACCAATTAAAATAAGTGACTCAAACTGTAATATAGCAATTTCAGGAAATTACTTCCACTTGACTCGAATTGAACATAGGCGGAAGAAAAACGACGCTCCTACGAAAAGTCTGCATTGACGACTTTTTGGATGAAGAAACGGCGCGGCGCCATTCATCTTAGCCGTCAGTTTCCTGAATTGTCACGTAATAACCTACAAGTAGTCATAATGATGTTTGCTACCGATCGGCAAAATCGTCTCGGGAAATATAATGGCGTATAAACATTTCATGAGATTCGAACGTCGATTTCAAGCTTCCCGTGTAACTAAAATATATGGCTTAATCGAGCGGGTTCATCGCGTTCATCTCCTTCATCCATTCGTCAAGCTTCATCTAGCCCAGATAAACTAACACTCGCCGAAAATATGAATTATGATTCTACTTCAACCGACGAAAAATCCTTACGATTTTTCATTTCTTCTTTCGCTTATACATATATTCTTTTCCAATTTATTTTCKCTTATACTATCTATCATTAGCCACATAAAACACATTGATATACGATTTAAGAACACGCTTCGCTATTTCATAATAAATCTGCCAATATTAAAACCAAACAACCCGACAGCTTCCTTTAAGAAACGTTCTCAAGAATTATTCAAGCTTCAAGTTCTAAATTTAGGTATGTACATACCACATTTTATAAATCAGTATTTGCATTGTTTAGGCTGTTCCGTTTTTATTGTTACAAATTGAAATAGATTTTAACACAACATGTTTTGAAAAATGCTATATACTACTCTGTAAAAAAATATCGGGAATTTTCGATTTAAAGAGTAGAAGATATCTTAATAATTCTTGTCTGACATATTGGTACAACCATACTCTCTTACCAACCCAAATTTTACCGCTATAGCTCAAGTGGTTTGTTTAAAATTGTTTTTACCACAACTTGTGGTTAAGTCTGACTTGCGATTTTTGTCCTGGACACTACCGATCAGAGAATTCACTTAAAATTATGTGTTGTCTACGAAAAATTCGTGTAGTGAATCTCTGAAAATTTTGCATAAAACCTTTGTATGTCAAAAACACAGGCATATGAGTGGTACGAAACATTTCAATTGGACCAAAAAGAAGTCACCGACATTCCTCGTTCTAAACTATCGTCAACAGCAAAAACAGAGGAAAATGTAAAGAAACGATGACTGTATTTCAATTAAGTTTAAGAGTAATATTATTTAGCCGTTGTGAGATGTTTGTAAAAAATATTCGCTGAAAAAGGACAAATTTGTGGAAAGACAACTCTGGGATTTTGCACCATGGCACACATAGCGACCGTCCTGCACAAGTTTTTAGCCAAAAATTCAAAAATGTCATCAAACAGGTACCGTATTCAGCTATCATGGCCCTATGTGACATTTTACCGTCTCTTAAACTTAAATTACTTCGCGAAGAAGGCGTTTTGAGTCCATAAAAGACATAAAACAAAATTCGCAGAAAAAACTGAAAGCCATACCTTCTTCTGTTTATGAGCAGAGTTTTGATAATTTAGTTTAACGTTGGCATATGCGTGTTGCTTAAGATAGAGTTAGGAAATCAATTAAAAATTGATCAATAATAACGTAGTACTACTTTATATAAAATTTCCCAGTACTTTTTGTATAGAATGTATAAGGGTCTACACACAAAAAGGTGCGTTTTTTAAAGGGTTTTTCTCAACATTTCAGAATAAATAAAATTACAAAATTTGGTACAGCTGATACACCTTTATACAACTAAACGAATTCCAGATGAAATATCGAAATTTTTAATCAGAGGCGTTCTAAATGGTTAAACAAATTTAATTTTTAACTTTTATGCTGTTTATGATTTGTAACATAAATTTTAAAACTGATTTTACTCAAAATCGGTAAGTTGAATCGGAAAAACGCAAAACACCTTTTTAATGAAAAACTATGAAATTTAGAATTTTGTGGCTGAAAGTGGCAAGAAACTACAGCTGAAATAGTTAGAATACTTTTAACCTAAAAATTTCAACATTTTATCTTTGAATACCTTGTATGAAGGTTGTCATCTGTACCAAATTTTGTAACTTTATCTAAAATGGTTTCGAAAATATTGTTAAAAAAATTAAAAGGCGCAGCTTTTTGAGGTGTAACTCCCTGGCATTTTTCGATACAAAATTATAGAAAACTTTTGTCTTACAATTAAATATTCTCCTGTTTAAATTTGTAACAATAAAAACGGAAGTTAGAGTACTTTTTACCCTAGACCCACCTAGTTTAGGAAGCCCTTAATTTAACATTTTATCTTTAAATTCGTTAAGGTGTATAAAGGTTTATCATCTGTACCAAATTATGAAATTTTATCTAAAATGGTTTCGAAAATATTGAAAAAAACCCATTAACAAACGCATCTTTTTACATGTTCATAGGAAAGTTTATGTTTTTTGAATAAAAAGAAAAAAGGTTGCAAGGTGTAATTTTTCGCACTGGAGCTCGTGATCGCGGGTCAATACAGGTTCTTGTGTGAAAATAAAGCAAAAAAACGGTGGCGTTGGTCGTTCTATTGGAGTGGGCGTTTGGTAGAAAGATTCGAAATTATGTTTTGAATGGATTCAATTACGTCCAGTCCACTTTCATTCACTTTCATTTTGTTTAGTTTCGGTAATATCGACATTGCATGGCCGTGTATGTGTAGAAAGAGGGTGAGGTCAATAAAGTCGTTAAGCGTGCATTAAGTGTCGGATATCCCCAATGGCGAATGTGCGAATCCGGCAAAAAGTTTCGTTCCTGAAATGTGAATAAATTGGTTCGATAAGAAGGCAGGAGACAGAAAGGGTGCGTGCAATTAATCGCAGCCGCGACTAATCCCAGATAACGACGGGTAATGAATAGACAGAACAGATACCAAGTTAGGGAAGAAAACTATCGGTTTTGGAATTGGAGCAGAGGCCATGTCCCGGAATTAACAGCGTTTTTTCTTTCTGATAACAATTATCCGGATTTATGGCGCACATCCTTCAAATGGAATTAACGCGAGCTCTGCTATAAAACAACGATTTGTCTGGAGCTTTAAAGGCTTGCCAGCCTTCCGACTTAGCAGTTTCGAGACTGGCATGGCATTCATCAGGGACGAGGAAACTACTGATACTTCCAACCGGAAGGACAACCGGCCGCAGAATTACGCGCCGAATTACACAAAACCGAACTCGGACTAACGATCACACAATATTATCTACATTACCTACAACAACCGCAAACATTTCACTAAACAACTCATTCACAAACCACAACTAATTTTATCACCAAGGATTTCAAATCCTTCAAAAACTCTCATACTTTGCATATAATTTCCCGAGCCCGTTTTTCCGCAATTTATATGCTATTTCCCTGGAAATTTCACTGGAAAATCTATTATCTCATTAATTTCTTACACCATCCTTCCGGCCACTTATTTTCTATAGTATTCAGTTAGCAGTAACCATATGCATGGCTAAGCTAATGACCAACTCTTATTACACCACGAAAATTAGACTGTAACCATATTCTATGTGCCATAATTTAGCAAATCACAGTCTCAGTTGTTAATAAAACGTATTAACTCGACTATATATTCAATTTCTAGTCTCAATAGTTGTATAGCTACATCCTTTGAGAAATTAATGTTGAATAGAACATGCTCCTAGCTTTTAAAACATTTTTAACCACCATGAAATTCAATTTCTCTTCATTGCAAATAAGTACAATTCAATTTAAATCTGTGCAGCTGACGGGTACATAACTAGTTGTCCTAGAAATCAGTAGAGATGGGTGAACTTTCACGATAATTAAATCGATATCAAACTTGACTCTACCTGTTTAGTACCTATCTGTTTAGTATTCAACATATCTACTAACAAACCATAAATAGATTTTAAGTCTGTATTTTCTATTTAATTATGAAGTTTTCAAATTATTATTACGCAATTATTTATCTTTTCTTCAATTTACACTTGAACATCAGAACAAAGTTATTTCATAGTGCCAAAAAGCGTAACACATTACACAAGTTTAACAGTTGAGACGCTTAAATTATTGTAAATATTGCTAATAATTTAAACGAGTTTGAACCGTGTTTAATTTTTGACTGAGTTGACACGTTAATATTGAGCGTTTTCTTTAGTCTGTGCTATAAATCACTTACTATTAATCACAGATTGGCAAAAACGGCAAGAATTGGTCTCTGTCAGATTTAAATAAAACTCCACTTTATCTTTCCTTATTAACTGAATTAAATATGTAAATTGGAGCTGCATTTGCTTATGCCTGAACCAACTCGTGAGCAAATTGTCTGTTGTTAGTGCTTTGATTGCGTTAAAAATTGTTTTATTTCAGTAATTAGTAAAGTTGTAATTTGGCGAAATGCTACGGCTGAAGGGAGATAATGCGTGCAAGTTTTCTCAGTGTTGAAAAAAATGGTGAATCCGTAGACAGAAAACGTGATGACCCAGCTGTAACGAATAGCTCTCTAGTGGCTAATGTTGCCTACGATCAAAAACTCGTCCCAAGCTCAATTTTCTCGTCACTTTCAAACAACTTTCTTTCAATCTCCAACTCTGAAAAGATTCGGTGTGCCCCTCGACAATTTTAACATAAGGCATTTCTTCGATATTTCATATATTTCGTCTT